CAGACAGCAGGTAGCTCGCCGCCATGTCTCGAACTTGTTGGATCGATACGGGCTCCTTCAGACGAGTAGGGCGAGGGCAATGGCGTTTCGCAAAGTCGCGGACTTGTGTGGTGAATGGCCCGACCGTCGGGCATGTGCTCCCAGTCATGCGATGGGCGAAGCTGACTGCTGAGCACGTGAGCTGTACTACGGACAGGGTGGCTTTACGTTGGATTGCGTATACCAGGTATAGCGCGAGGGTCATGTCGGATGCGGGGAGAAATGGAAGGTTCACCTTTGTACAAAAGGCCCGAAACTTAGTCCAGTATGGTTCGTATGTCCGGATCGTCGAGTTTGCACGAGACTGTGCGCTCATGTTAATCAACTGGTCGTGTAGCTTTGGGAGGAAATCTGAACACAAGGCGGAGAAGTTATGAGTTAGTCAAATACCACTCGGAGTGCTATGATTGGGCTGTGCGGTAATCCTGTGCCTGAGAAGGCAGTGGAATGTGTCCCTGCAGCTAAGCATTGGCTTCCGTGTGTCAGAGGGATGTGCGCATGGATATGTGACGCCCACGTGCATGGGGAGGGCTGTAGGAGTGGCCACCAGCTTGTGCCCGGCCAGTGCGGAACTATCAGTGTGAGTGATGCGTGGGTGCGTTGTGCGTGGTGGAGGACGGCGGGGACCAATTGGGGCGGGGGGAACGCGAAACCATTTTCGCCTGTCCATGCGAGCGAAAATGCATCAATTGCGAAGGCGTCGGGGTGAGGGATCTTTGTGCAGAAGCGCGATAGCTGGGTGTTGCGGGAGTTTGCAAAAAGGTCGATGGAATGGGGACCCCAACGACGTTCTAAGAGGCGGAACCATGGCGTCTTCAACGACTAGTCGTCGTGATCGACTATTTTGGAAAGCTCGTCAGCGTGTGAGTTGAGTTCGCGCGGAATCCATTCGATGATCAAGCGTGTGCCGAGCTCCATGCATGTTCGTATGATGCCCTTGCATGCCATGGTGAGGTCGGGGTTGCGAGAGCCGCCTTTGCGAAGGATGAAGAATACACCTTGGTTGTCCACCCGCACGAGAACGTGTTTTTTTCTGGATCTTGTTGGCATACGTTTGGATTGCCCAAAAGACGCCTTCAGTCTCCCGTCTCGTGCTGGACGTTGCTCGTAGCGGCTCTGGCATGGTTGCACTGGCTTCTTCGAGGCCACCCGGAAACGTGGTCAGGGTGGCGCCCCAACCGTGAGAGCTGGCGTCTACATGGATTGCAGCGTCGTAGCTGTTTCGGACGTGAAATGGTGCACCGTTAAACCGATCAAACTCTTCGCGCCAGAAGTGGAGCTCCTCAGCTGCAGATGGGGAGACGATCACACTGCTTTTCCATGACGGCGCGTCGTTGATCACTTGTAACATGGCGTGGCTGAATGCGCGAGCTGTCGCGCCTAGTGCGACACTCATTGAGGCGAGCATGACTGTGATTCTGGCCACGTGACGGACGGGGACTGGCCTGCATGCCTTGCTTGCACTTAGGAGGTTCTGGATGGTTGCATGTAGCGCGGCTCGTCGGTCGGGACCGATGGAGAATCGGCCGGTGTCGGTGTCCAACTCTACACCCAAAAATCGAAGGTGTTGCGATGGTGAGAGCTGCGATTTCTTCGCGTTTATCACCAGCCCCGCTGCTTTGAGGTTCAATATTACGCGCTGACAGGTAGCTTGCGCATGGGCCTTTGACTGGCAGAGAAATAAAATGTCATCCACGTATGGCACTACTCAGATGCCCTGTTCTCACCAACGCCGGGCAAGTTGCTTGATGAGTTGCGTGAAGACGAATGGAGCTGTGGCGAGTCCGAATGGCAGGGAACGAAATGCGTATGTGCGTCCACCAAATTCGAATCCAAGGAACTTCCAGCACGAGGGGTGGATGTCGATGTGGTGATAACCGGATTTAAGCTCGATGGAGAACATCCGGTCCCCAGCGCGTGCCAGGTCGGCCACCCGGTTAAGCCCCTCGTACTTGAACTTGGGGACAATTAAGTGAGCGTTGACTTTCCTCAGATCAAGAATGAGCCTGCATTTGTCTTTTTGCTCGACCACGTTGAGCGGACTTATGCAAGTAAACTCCTTTGCGGCCATCGGAACTGCCGCTCCGGTCTCTGTGAGTTCTTGTATGGCAGTACGTGTGAACGTGGCATGCGTGTTCGCCCCGACATGGTTGCGATCGTGGAAGGGTTGCGGTGGGCCGTGGCTCCATGGCAACCAATAGCCTTTGGCTATGACGGAGAGGACAAGGCTACTCGAGCACCATGAGCTCCACCATTCAAAGGTCGCGTGAAGCCGGCCGCGCATATGTGTAACGGTTTTGTCCGTAATGGCAAATTCGTACATATCGTCGCCGCATGCCGCCTCTCTCTCTCTCTCTCTCTCTCTCTCTCTCTCTCTCTCTCTCTCTCTCTCTCTCTCTCTCTCTCTCTCTCTCTCTCTCTCTCTCTCTCTCTCTCTCTCTCTCTCGAATGGTCGATTGTATTGATATAGGAAAGAGAAAAACAGCAATGGTAAGCAAGCAAGCATCAAGCAGATATGTCAACTAATCTCCGTCCTACCCCCTCCCCCCCCCTCCCCCCCCCCGGTCTTCTACTCACTACCATTGCCCGGCTCTAGGGTAGCAAAGCATTCCCCCGGGTCAAGGACTCCCTCCGGCCCTCCTAAGGCCGGGTTCTCAATCTGGCCGGGCTCTCTCTCTCTCTCTCTCTCTCTCTCTCTCTCTCTCTCTCTCTCTCTCTCTCCCTCTCCCTCTCTCTTTCATGCTCTCTCTTACTCGTAGTTCATGGGGGCTGGTGCTTAGAATTATGGACATGCGTGCCCACCATGTTGTATCTCGTTCGTTCTCTTTCTCTCTCTCTCTCTCTCTCTCTCTCTCTCTCTCTCTCTCTCTCTCTCTCTCTCTCTCTCTCTCTCTCTCTCTCTCTTTTCTTTCTCTCTGATTCTCTTTCTCTCTTGCTCTGCACCACCTCTTTGTTTCTTAGAGTGTCACTTGCCAAAATCAGAGGGCCTTTAGGAATAATGTTTCATTAAATCGACCCGACACATAGCAAAGCTTTCCTAGCATGCATACGCCACCTAGTGGCCAATACATGGGACCGAGGGGTTGATGTTCCCCTTCCCTAACCTAGGCCCGAGGCCTACTCTACCCTTGTCTAGGGCTGGCCTCTTGCCATCGCAAACCCCTAGGACTGCCCACGGTTTCCGCACTCAAGAGTGCACCGTGCCTTGCGCTCCGAGTGCATTTCCCATGGCCCGCTCCTACACTACCGGAGCGGGACCTTGGCCACCATGCCCGTTCCTAAGGCAGGCACTTGCCACATGGCCCGGCTGGCCGCAGCGGAAGCACGAGCCCCGAAACCCACGACAATTGGTCGTGGGTGGGGGGCCCCGCTTGGGTACGAACGGCATCGGCACGTTGTTTCCGCCGCGGTTGACACGAGCGTAAGCGCTTGCCGCGCGGTCCATCGCAGCCATGTCCGCGACCGCCTGCTTGAAGGGTCGAGAGGTCAGCAGGCTCTTCTGCTGGTACAGCTTGAAGCGCTTCGCCGTGCGGAAGTCGGAGGCGTCCTCCACTTGAAGCACCTCGAAACGCCCCGCGATGAGGTTGAGAGCGTGTGAGATGAGTTCGAGTCCGCTCGCCGAGTCGCCGCGCTGCGCCTTGTATTCCGCGTGCAGCAGGTACCCGCGCAAGTCCTCCAGCAGCTCCGCTTGCTCTCGCACGGAGTCGTTGACGAATGTCGTTGCCGAAAAGGTGAGGTTAGAAGAAGGGAGGGGGGGGAGGTTTTCCGTGCCAATAAAATTAGCATTGTCGACTGGAGCCTCACCGGCGTCATCGTCGGAGTCGTCGGTGTCGTTGTCTACCGCTAGAGCAGGGGGAATGCCGGTCGCTGCGTCGTCGTTGCGCCGGTTCGTCCTTGCTCCTCGCACTCCTTTTTCCTTTTTTGCAGTTTCGTTTTTAGCAGACGCAGATGCAGCAGGTAGTGCAGTTTCCGCAGCTGTAACGCTGACGGGCTGCTGCTGTAGAAGGGACAGCAGCGCGTTGACCTGGTCCGGGGTCAACGCCTGCATCAGCGTAGGAGTGGTCGTCGCGTCAGACGAGGAGACCGCCGGTCGTCGCCTCTGGCGCTGACGCGACGGTCCAGCTGCGGGCGTGCTGGCGTGTGCTCGGCGTCAGTCGCGTGTGTCGCGCCAGCCGCCGTTGCCACTGGCGTCACAGGTGCCACAGGCGCCACTGGCACCACATTCGCCGAAGGGTGCTGAGCATCGAGCCCGCCCAGTAGCACGTCCACTCCAGTCGGGGCGGAAGGTCCATCTTCTGCCCGACGCTTGTTACGTCGATTGCCCGAAAAATCGCGGGCGTTACGGTCGGAGTCGGAAGCGGGGTTGGCCGAGTTGTCGTTTTTAAGTGCCGGCGTAGGTGCCATCGTTGAGCGATTGAAGTTAAAAACACAATTTAAAAAACACAATGTGTGTTTAAATTTTATAATTTTGGGAGGTAGCGGATAATCTGAAACAGAGATGGCTGCAGTTTCAATACCGTGCATGCCCTCAGGGGGAATAGGGAGATGCCACGTGGCTCTGGTTGAGTTAAGAGAGGGGGAGGTCAAAGCAGCACAAAAACAAGTTGATGTTAAAGGAAGGTGGAGCAGGACAGATGCATGCTACCATGCTGCCATGGCAAAAAGAACTGGATATCGGCTGGTGAAGAATGGTAGACGAGGTGTGCAGGATAGTAGTGAGAGTCAATGAACTAAAGTATTGAAAACATGTATTCCATTCAATCTGTATCATAAAACGCACAGAACGACTGCCGCGACAGTTCCTCTCCAAGCCATTCACGTATCTGTCTCGTGACAATGTCTTGCATCAATGCTGCGCAATAGGGACATGTTGTGATGACCAGAACAGTGGGCAGCATGCGAGTCCATATTGACAAAGTCAAGGCATAATGCAACATTACAAAAAAGGCGGAAGTAGAGACATGGGTGAAGGATCATATGGGGTATCACACAACGCATGTTCGTGTTATATATGTAAAGGGTGTCACTCACCAACGGAAAATGATGTAGCGGTCTCCACCCAATCCGCTAGTGGCAGTCATTCACTTGTGGCAATCATTTACCCGTGGGAATAATGTATTTTTGCACTCATACCACACTCAGATCGACCCCGTTCCCTCCATTTCACCACCACCACCCACTCTGTTGCACCTCTCTTTCCCACCAATTATCTCCAGACTCACTGGTCTATCACTTGCGGCATTTCCGAGACCAAGCACACCGCGTGCATTGCACCTCCTAATAGCTCCCCTCAGTCTTTCTCCGCTTCCTCCATTGCCCCTACCTCACTTCTGCATTACCTCTGCCCCAGTTCCTTGCGTCAAGACACAACCCCTCCCCTCTAGAAAAGGGGAGAATGGGGGCAGACGGCGGTGTCGTTTCAAGAGGGGCTTGACTGATGGTGAGGCAGGTGGAGGGGGAGCAGATGGAGTTTCGTATTCTGAGTCGACTCAAAAGACGGCGATGTCGTTTCAAGAGTAGGCTTGACAGATGGCAAAGCAGGTGGAGGGGGAGAAAATGGATTTTCGTCCAGTTCCGAGAGGAGCTTGGGCGGCAGGCGTTGGTGGGGCTGTGGTAATGTCAGGAGCGACGTAGGGGTGAGGAGGGAGGGCTGTGTGTTAATGTGCCTCAGGGGTGAGGAGGGAGGGCTGTGTGTTAATGTGCCCCAGGGGTGAGAAGGGAGGGCTGTGTGTTAATGTGCCCCAGGGGTGAGGAGGGAGGGCTGTGTGTTAATGTGCCTCAGGGGTGAGGAGGGAGGGCTGTGTGTTAATGTGCCTCAGGGGTGAGGAGGGAGGGCTGTGCGTTAATGTGCCCCAGGGGTGAGGAGGGAGGGCTGTGTGTTAATGTGCCTCAGGGGTGAGGAGGGAGGGCTGTGTGTTAATGTGCCTCAGGGGTGAGGAGGGAGGGCTGTGTGTTAATGTGCCTCAGGGGTGAGGAGGGAGGGCTGTGTGTTAATGTGCCTCAGGCGTGAGGAGGGAGGGCTGTGTGTTAATGTGCCTCAGGGGTGAGGAGGGAGGGCTGTGTGTTAATGTGCCTCATGGGTGAGGAGGGAGGGCTGTGTGTTAATGTGCCTCAGGGGTGAGGAGGGAGGGCTGTGTGTTAATGTGCCCCAGAGGAGCTGCTGAGGAGGAGAGGGGCGACAGTTGGGCTGGCGGGGAGAAGGTGTTGTGTTGAGGTGTTTCAGAGAGGAAAGGTTGGTCTCCTCACGGGGTGGGTTTGTGAAGGCAGGAAGGGGTGTTCGTCAAGCCAGGGGGGGTGGTTCGTCAAGCCAGGGGGGTTGGTTCGTCAAGCCAGGGGGGTTGGTTCGTCAAGCCAAGGGGGTTGGTTCGTCAAGCCAGGGGGGTTGGTTCGTCAAGCCAGGGGGGGTGGTTCGTCAAGCCAGGGGGAGTTGGTTCGTCAAGCCAGGGGGGTTGGTTCGTCAAGCCAGGGGGGTTGGTTCGTCAAGCCAAGGAGAGGTGTTTGTCAAAGCAGAGAGTGGGACGCTTTTTGAGATGTCGCAACGCAAGAGTGGGCAAGAAGGTGGATTTAGATTGGTTTGAGGTGGAGGGTGTGGATGCGAGGCAGGCGCAGAAAGGTTCAGGAGGTGCGGTGCAATGCAGAGTGGTGAGGTGACAGTGAGTGTACTAGAGGAATTACATGCAAGTGACACGGATGTTACCAGACCAGTACAGATCAGTATGTGCCTGGAGAACAAACAGATGGAGGTGATGGGAATCAGCTTTGCAACGAATATGCAGGAGGGCTGAGAGAGGATGGTAATCGAGACAGGCGGAAGCATCATGACCACCGTCACCAGCACAGGTAGGTTGACGCGCAGGGCATGTGGGAAGGAAGAGTGAATGGGGAGAGAGAGGCAAAGGAACTCCTCCTCACCGCTCTCTCTACATCCACACTCCACCACACACTGCCGCACCGACCTCACCGTTGACGAGAGAGAAATAGCTGCCCACCACATGCCCACTCCTGTCGCCAGCCCTCACCTACTCTACCCTCACCTGCCCTTTTCCACTGTTCGTGTTCCAGCCATCCTTCCTCTCCTCCCTCCCGCACTACCGCACTACCCATTGCCACACTGCCGTCTCCCAGGGTGGGGGAGGCGGGAGGTGGGAGCATGGTTGTGGTTGCGGGTGGGTGGGAGCATGGGCGTGGGTGGGGGTGACATGGGCGTGGGTTGGGGTGAGGGTATGGGTGTGGGTGAGGGCATGGGCATGGATGGGGCATGGGCGTAGGTGGGGTTTGGGCGTGGAATCAGGAGGATGGGCATGGGTAAATGGGCGTGGTTGAAAGATGTAGCAGCAGCACCAATGGTGGGGGCTTCGCAGCAAAAGCAGCCGAGCAGCGATCAGAGGAACTCGTGGGCGTCCCGATGGGGGCGGGCAGGTCACCTGGGGTAGGAAGGAGGGATGGGCGAGATGGGCGAGATGGGCGAGATGGGCGAGATGGATGAGATGGGCGAGATGGGCGAGATGGGCGAGATGGATGAGATGGGCGAGATGGGCGAGATGGGCGAGATGGATGAGATGGGCGAGATGGGTGAGATGGCAGGCAAAAGGAAGGAGAGGAACATTCCAACCGCATGAAGGCGAGAACGGAACCAGGAGACATTTCAGACTCTTGCTTGCTGCAGCTGAAGCCGGGCCACGGATCTCACAACAGACGCACAAATGTCGATGCGAACATTGCCAGTATGCATTGAGAGGCCTCAAGACCCACATCCAGCAATTCCACCGTATCCCCACAGCTCGCCTTCTTTACTCATCTCATCCCCCTCTCCTCTTACCCTGCCAGCATCGGCCCTGCTGCCTTGCTCTTACTTCACCCTGCTCTCACTCGCTGCTCCTGACCTTGAAAAATAGGAGAGGGTGAAGGCGAGGGGGGGGGAGAGAGAAAGAATCTGCATAGCTTTCTGGGGTAAAGCTACGGACGGTGGAGAAAGGGGAGAAGGAGAAGAGAAGAAGGGAGTTAGAAGAAGGGAGAAGACGACCGTTCCCTGGTCTTGATCGTGCCATTATGTGAGTGTCGTATCCATCCTTCCCATGGCTTGCCATGCTCCCTCCTGCTGCAAAGCACCTCATTGCTACAGTCGAACAGGCCCCAGCAGCAGCAGAGGCGGCGGCGGTGGCAGCAGCAGTGCCATCTGCTTCCTGCCCCTTCTCGTCCCTTCCTTCCGCCAGGCACCCCACCTCTGACAGACATGTCTTCCCTCCCCTGTCTCCCCCCGTGCACCTTCTGACCTTGCTGCATCAGACTCACATGCTCGCACTTCACATGCTCGCACTTCACATGCTCGCACCTCACAATGCCCCAGCCCCGCCTGCTTGTGCCCTTGCCCTCATTCTCATCGCGCTACTGCCTGCTCCTTTGTTCCTGTCTCTCCACGCGCCTCCTCGCTTCGCATCTGCCCTGCTCGCCGCCACTGCAGCCCCACCTGCTGGAGCACCACCTCCCGCCCCACCCGCATCGCTGACCTCTCGTCAGCTCCGGACACACCACTCCTGTCCCTGCTATAGCCCACCTCACCATCCGCTGCACCAATCGCTTCTACTGCTGCAGCCGTCGCTTCAGCTGCTGCTGCTGCTGCTCCCTCGAGGCGCCCTTGGGATCCTTCCAAGCTCGCCCATCCTTTCAATACCTTGGCTCCTGGCCGCCATGTCAAACATTATATGGGTTACTCTATTGTAGGCTACAGTGGGTTAGCCTTTAGGGGGTTCACAATTCTAGGGTTTCATATTTGTACCCTCACTTGTTTCTAGTCAAACACACTTCTCTTTCTTGACATGGTTTCAGAGCTTAGGTTCTAGACCTAGGACTCACCTAAGGGCCCACCGTTAGAAGCGCCCTCGAGCGCCATATCGACCTAGCGCCCTCGAGCGCCTTTCTCCTAGTGCGCCCTCGTGCGCCTCGTCTTCTCCTGCTGCCCGTGCGCGGCTCGCTAGTGCCATGCGCGGCCCTTTTTTATCGCGCGCGTCGCCCCCTAGCAGCCCGCGCGCGGCCGTTTCTTCGCGCGCGCCGCCCGTTAGCCGCCCGAGCCGCCACGAGCAGCCCACTAGCCGCCCGTCGACCGGCCCTCCTGGCCGCGCGTAGCCCGCTAGCGACCGGCAGCTCCGCCCGTAGGCCGCCACGTCGCCCACTAGGCCGCCGCCCGCGCGCTAGTTCAGGTCCACGCATAGCCACGGCCCGCCCGCTACAGCCGCCTACGTGCACGCCCCCCGTCGCGCACCGCCGCGTAGCCCAGCCCGAGCCGAGCCGCGCCGCCCGAACCGAACCGCGCCGCCCTGACCGAGCCGCGCCGCCCGAACCGAGCCGCGCCGCCCTGGCCGAGCCGTGCCGTTCTACTGTACCCCACCAACTACTACTACTACTACTGCTACTGCTACTGCTACTGCTACTGCTGCTGCTACTACTGCTACGGCTGCTACTGCTCCTACTGCAACTATGGCTAGCCCTGCTATGCTAGCTTTTGATGCTGAGGGCCGCCCACTGAAGTTTGAGACCTGGCTCGATGACCTGCACCTATTCCTCCAGCTCACTGCCAAGGAGGATATCTCACTGTACGATCACGCGCTAGGCCATGCTGCTGCCCCTGCTGCTACTGCTGACAGTACTGCCCGTTCACAGTGGCAGACTCGTGACGCCCACGCTCGCTTTGCTATTCGCAACTCCCTGCCGGTAGATGAGCGCGAGCACTTTGGCCAGCACAAAACTGCGCAGGCACTGTACACTGCTGTAGTTGCACGCTACTCCTCACCTGCCTCTGCTGCGCTAGGCCGTCTCTCGCTCCCCTACCTGTTCCCAGACCTGTCCGCTTTCGCCACAGTCGCTGACCTCACCACGCACCTCCGCACTAGTGAGGCTTGCTTCCGTGCCGCTATGCCCGCTGAGTTTCTTGCCACCCACCCCCCCCCGCTCTGGCTCACTCTCTACCACCTTGTCACCCGTCTCCCTGACTCTCTTCGTACGGTCAGGGACCACTTCCTCGCTCGCTCCCCCACTGAGCTCACCATAGACCTGCTCGAGAAGGAACTGCTTGCAGCTGAGACTAGCATAGTCGCTGTAGCTGCCTCTCGTGGCGACCCCCGCACCCCTTTCTTCGAGGGGTGTTCCCCTTCCCCCCTTCTCCCCTCTGTCGCCTCTACTGCTGCTGTCGACCTAGTTGGTACTGAGCAGGTCGGGACTGCGTCCGCTCCGAGCTGGCGCCGCAGCGGCAAGGGCAAAGGGGGCAAGGGAGGTGGAGGTGACGGCGGGGGAGGTGGTGGTGGGGGAGGTGGCGGCGGTGGGGGTGGTGGCGGGGCTGGAGGGGCTAGTGGCAGCGGTGGGGGTGGAGGCGGCAGCAGCGGAGGAGGTGGCCGGGGTGGGGGCGGTGGTTGGGGCGGCAGTGGACGCGGAGGCGGCAGGGGCGGTGGTGGTCGAGGTGGTGGCGGAGGCGGTGGTGGTCGTGGAGGCACTGGCGGTGGCCAGAACCAGCAGCACACTCCGTCTTCCCAGGAGCTTCGTGAGTGGTACTCTCAGCACGGGGGGGGGGGGGGGGGGGTGGCCTTAGCTGCACGTACGTCATCCGCACTGGTGACCGCACTGGCCAGACGTGTGGGAGGGCGCACACCACGCAGCGCTGCTTCTCCCGCCTTGACGACGCGTGGCGCACTCAGTTCCCTTCTGCCACTGAGCTGCCCCGCTGGGCTGACCTGATGAAGAAGAACATTGATATCTATGCTCTTGACTTTGATGCTATTCTCACTGCCATGTATGTGTTGTCTACTAGTGGAGAGGGTGACCATTACCTGCGTGTTCCGCCCGACCCGGGCATTCGGACCAGTGAGGCTGCCGCTCTAGGTGCTTGTGTGTCTGCTGCCCCAGGTGCTGGTGAGGCTGCTGCTCTAGGTGCTTGCTTGTCTGCTGCCCCAGGTGCTGGTGAGGCTGCTGCTCTAGGTACTAGTGAGTCTGCGCCCCCTGGTACTGAGTCCACTGAGGCACTGCACACCTTCACTCTAGACTCAGGAGCTTCTCGCTGTTTCTTTCGTGACCGCACTGCCCTTGAGCAGCTTGCTCGGCCAGTTGCTGTCTCCCTTGCTGACCCCTCTGGGGGTCCGGTCATTGCGACCTCCTCCACTGTCCTTCCTTGTCCGGCGGTTCCGTCGGGCACACTGTCCGGTCTCCACCTCCCCTCGTTCTCTACGAACTTGGTGGCGGGTTGTGCGCTCCAGGACGGGGGTGTCCACCGGTTCGCCCCTGCCTACGAGCGCGTGACACACTGCACGTGTGCTCGGACGGGCCGTCACCTGGCTACCTTCACTAGGCAGCCGGGGTCGGACCTGTACACACTGACCACTGAGTCCCCTCATGTAGCTGCGTCTGCGTCTGCGTCAGGTCAGCTGTCTGCCCCCTGCTCGTGTCGCTCTCTGGCACACGAGACTGTCCTCTGGCACCACCGCCTTGGTCACCCGTCAGTGCAGCGCCTTCGTGCCATGCACAAACGGTACCTTGTCTCTGGTCTTCCCCGGGTACTCCCTCCCCTCCCACCCTCGCCTGCTCCTCCCTGTCTTCCTTGTGTCGAGGGGCGGCAGCGCGCCGCTCCTCACTCCTCCTCGTTTCCCCCGACGACTGCTCCCTTGCAGACGCTCCACATGGACGTGTGGGGCCCAGCCCGCGTCCGTGGACAGGGTCAGGAGAGGTACTTCCTGATCGTTGTTGACGACTACTCGCGCTACACCACGGTCTTCCCCTTGCGCACCAAGGGTGAGGTCCCTGATGTTTTGATCCCTTGGATCCGCGCTTCTCGTCTCCAGCTCAGCGAGCGGTTCCACTCGGACTTTCCTGTCCTGCGTCTGCACTCAGACAGAGGTGGTGAGTTCTCCTCCGACCTCTTGGCAGCCTACTGTGCGGAGCACGGTATCCGCCAGTCGTTCACGCTTCCGGCCTTTCCACAGCAGAATGGGGTTGCTGAGCGCTGCATTGGCTTGGTCATGGAGGTCGCTCGTACCTCCTTGATCCATGCGGCTGCCCCCCACTTTCTGTGGCCGTTTGCGGTCCGGTACGCTGCGCATCAGCTCAACCTCTGGCCCCGTGTCTCCTTGCCGGAGACCTCGCCCACACTGCTGTGGACGAGGGAGGTTGGCGATGCGTCGCGTTTCCGGGTCTGGGGATCTCGAGTTTTTGTCCGCGATACGTCCGCGGACAAGCTCTCCTCTCGCGCTGTTCCCTGTGTCTTCCTTGGCTTTGTCCCGGACGCGTCTGGTTGGCAGTTTTACCACGCCACCTCGCGCCGTGTCCTGCCCTCTCAGGACGTCACTTTTGACGAGTCGGTGCCCTACTACCGCCTCTTCCCCTACCGCACTGCCCCGCTCCCCCCCCCGCCTCTCTTCCTCGCGCCAGGTGCTGCTGTGGTAGACCCCCTCCCCCCTCAGGGTGCCGCTCCCTCAGGTGTGTCCCAGGTAGACCCGGTTGAGCCTGTCGAGGTAGCTGTCGACTCTCGTCCTGCTAGGGGTGCTGAGCCTGAGCGTGCGGAGCCTGGGGGTGCGGAGCCTGGGGTTGCGGAGTCTGGGGGTGCGGAGCCTGCGGGTACTGAGTCTGGGGGTGCGGAGCCTGAGGGTGCTGAGTCTGGGGGTGCTGAGCCTGAGGGTGCTGCGACTGAGAGTGCTACACCTGGAGGCGCTCTTTCCTCACAGCAGCTGCGTGAGTGGTACTTACATTACTGCAGCCTCAGGAGAGGTGCTGCTGGAGCTCGTGCTCGTGCTTCCCCTCCTAGGCGGGAGCTGCCCTCTCCCCAGCGGCTTCGAGAGTGGTACGCTCGTCGCTGCAGTCTCCGGAGTGGCGCTACTAGTGTCGCGGACCCTGGAGCTGGAGGTGCTGCTGGTGCTGGAGCTGCTGGAGGTGGTGCTGCTACTGGCGCTACTGGAGGTGCTGCTGGTCCTGGCGCTGCTGGAGGTGCTGCTGGTGCTGACGCTGCTGGAGGTGCTGCTGGTGCTGGTGCTGCTGGAGGTGCTGCTGGTGCTGGTGCTGCTGGAGCTGCTGGAGGTGCTGCTGCTGCTGGCGGTGCTGCTGGTGCTACTGGAGCTGCTGGAGGTGCTACTGGAGCTGCTGGAGGTGCTGCTGGTACTGGTGCTGCTGGTGCCGGTACTGCTGGAGCTGCTGGAGGTGCTGCTGGTGTTGGAGCTGCTGGAGCTGCTGCTGGTACTGGTGCTGCTGCTGCTGGTACTACTGGAGCTGCTGGAGGTGCTGCTGGTGCTGGAGCTGCTGGAGGCACTGCTGCTGCTGGCGGTGCTGCTGGAGGTGCTGCTGGTGCTGGAGCTGCTGGAGCTGCTGGTCCTGGAGGTGCTCGTACTGGAGGTACTGGAGCTGCTGGGACTGGAGCGGCTGAGGGGACTGGAGCTGGAGTTGCTGAGCGGCCGCGGCCGTACTACGTTCCGCTCCTTCAGCAGGTTCTTGGTCTCCCGCCCTCTACAGGTCCTACTCCTCCCCTACTGAGTCCACCGCCTGTCCAGTCACAGTTACAGCCTGCCTCTCCACTCCCTGGTCCTTCTCCTTACACTGCGCCGACGGGCAGTCTTACTGAGCGTCGTGAGCCTGAGTCTCGTCCTCCATCGCCTGAGTCTAGTCCAGAGTCGCCTGAGTCGCGTCCAGAGTCGCCTGTCCGAGCTGTCCGCGCTGGTCGTCGTGCTCCGCGTGAGCATCCTCCTCCTGTCCTCGGCACTCACTATATGACCCTGCGTCCTTCCACTGCTCCACAGCGCGTCCCTCTGCCGTCTCCTCCTGCGTCCTCTCTTCTTGACGTTGCTGACCCGCCGTCAGACCTTACTCGTGCTGCCAGTCCTACTGTCGCGCGTCTCCTTGCCACTGTTGTCACTGACCCTACCTTTGAGTCCTCTGCTGCGTCTGCTCTAGTCGCTGAGCTTGTTGACTTTGCTGCCGCCTGTCGTCTCGACTACGCCGCTAGCCTTGTTGCTGAGTCTGAGTCTGTCTGTCCTCCGTCCGTCGGGGGTGAGTGTGCTCTTGGCACGGACGTCCTTGAGGACAGACAGGAGGAGTTTGAGTGCTTTGCTGCTGCTTTACCTCATCTCGTGTCCATGCTGATTGCCCCTGAGGGAGACCCGGATGCACCAGACATCCCGACCCCACGCTCTTACGCAGAGGCGATGGAGGGTCCCTACTCCTCTCAGTGGCAGACAGCCATGGACGCAGAGATGGCTTCCTGGAAGTCCACAGGCACCTACGTCGACGAGGTTCCCCCACCTGGGGCGAACATCGTCAGTGGCATGTGGATTTTCAGGGTGAAGCGGTCGCCGGGTTCTCCGCCTGTCTTCAAGGCGCGTTACGTTGCACGAGGCTTCAGTCAGCGAGAGGGAGTTGACTTCTTCCAGACCTTCTCCCCGACCCCGAAGATGACCACTCTTCGGGTTCTGCTGCACGTCGCTGCTCAGCGTGACTACGAGCTCCACTGCCTTGACTTCAGCACTGCGTTCCTACAGGGCACACTGCACGAGGAGATCTGGCTGCGCCGCCCACCTGGCTTCACTGGGTCGTTCCCTCCTGGTACCCAGTGGAGCCTCCGGCGGCCAGTCTACGGTCTCCGCCAGGCGCCCCGTGAGTGGCACGACACACTGAGGACTACTCTTGCTGCTCTTGGGTTTGCTCCTTCTACTGCTGACCCGTCGCTGTTTCTACGCACCGACACCACTCTGCCGCCGTTCTACGTTCTCGTGTACGTAGACGACTTGGTCTTTGCTACTGCTGACACGGAGGCACTCGCCCACGTGAAGTCGGAGCTGCAGAAGAGACACACGTGCACAGACCTGGGTGAGCTGACAAGCTATCTTGGCTTGCGGATCACCCGGGACAGAGCACAGCGCACCATCACCTTGACTCAGTCACACATGGTGCAGCAGGTCCTTCAGCGCTTCCGCTTCACGTACTCCTCGCCTCAGCCCACTCCTCTGCCTACCGGTCACTCGCTCTCAGCTCTGCCTTCGGATGAGTCCGTAGAGCCGAGTGGCCCGTATCCAGAGCTTGTGGGCTGCCTCATGTACCTGATGACTTGCACTCGACCTGACCTAGCCTACCCTCTTAGCATCCTAGCACGCTATGTCGCTCCTGGCCGTCACCGGAAGGAGCACATGGATGCAGCTAAGAGGGTGTTGCGCTACTTGTGCAGTACGTCGGGCATGGGGCTGGTGCTTGGAGGACGGCGCGACGTTGTCCTCACTGGACACTCAGACGCTTCTTGGGCAGACGACCAGGCTACTCAGCGGTCGTCTCAGGGTTACACCTTCAGCCTTGGCTCTGGCTCTGTTTCCTGGCGTTCTACACGCTCTTCTTCTGTTCTCAGCTCCAGTTGTGAGGCTGAGATCTACGCCACAGCCATGGCTGCCCAGGAGCTACGCTGGCTCACCTACCTGCTGACCGACCTCGGAGAGCGGCCTCGTTCTCCTCCAGTGCTGTACGTCGAGAACAAGGCCGCCCTTGCCTTGTGTCAGGAGCACAGACTGGAGCACAGAACGAAGCACATCGCTCTGCGCTACTTCCTTGCTCGAGAGCTGCAGCAGCATGGTCAGCTTCGTCTCTCGTACGTGGCCACTCGGGCCAACACTGCTGATGTGTTCACCAAGGCGCTTCCGCCTTGTGATCATCAGCGTTTCTGTACTGTTCTAGGCCTTGTGCCTACTGTCCCTCACTTGCTCACTTCTTGACTCTGCTTGTACTGTGATCTCTATATATATACCTGCATGCTTACACTTGCTAGGTTGTGATCACTGTACCTCTTGTTATATTATCAAACTGCATGTGAACTGGTCTTGTGACCACTTGCTTGTGCTCGGAATTTGTGTGGTATCCTTGAGATCCACCCTGAGCTTGTTTTGCTTTGCGTTGCTTTGACTGGTCTTGTGACCCCTTGTTCTCCCCCACTTTGCCTATGGGGGTGTGTCAAACATTATATGGGTTACTCTATTGTAGGCTACAGTGGGTTAGCCTTTAGGGGGTTCACAATTCTAGGGTTTCATATTTGTACCCTCACTTGTTTCTAGTCAAACACACTTCTCTTTCTTGACACGCCACACACCTGCAACGGCGAAGCAGACGACGACACCAGCAAGGAAATTACATTTGAGACGTTTAGAAGGCGACGCGGCAGACGAGCACCGCACCGGCACAGAGAGGGGAAGTGTAATGGGGAGAAAAGGGTGGAGGCGCGAATTCTGAAGCTGTCACATGCTCAATTGTGCATACACACACATGGCACAGATGTGACATTCCAGTGCACGGGCGTCAGGCAAGTCGCGCGTTGCGTTTCGACGAGGACGGCGCGGAGGGTGTGGAGGCGCATTTGCGAGAGGTGCGGCAGTGAGAGGCGTTCCGACGATGCAGTTCGAAAAAGAAGCAGGGAAGGCGAATGGTTGGCGAGAGTGCAAGGTGAAGCAACTAGAGCGAAGAAGGGAAGAGGACGAGAAAAGCGCACTGACGCGCTTCTTAAGCGCTTGCGCGATTACAAGAAGCACACAAGGACAAGAGCATCGCTGACTCGCTCGACTCACCCACGACAACGCCGAATAGCTGGCGCGGTCTCGACCGCCTCGGTCTGGATATCGCGTCATCCTTCCTCTGCCCTTCCGTGAAACGACCAACAAGGTGCTCCCTAGCTCTTCTCGCGTTCCGATCGTCTCTCGCGCGCTCCCTCCTTGCCTTCTCCTGTCGTCGCCTGCGCTCCTCCGCTCACTCCTGCGCGTGTCCCTCGGCGCCGCCAAACCCACGAGGGCCTTTGCCCTGCCTCTTCCTACTTATAGCGGGGACAATGGGGTGACACATGCGCAGGACACTACTGATGTACATGCAAAAGTTTAGCTTCCGCAATGCGAAGAGTCGTGAAGGCCCGATTATTATTGCCTTAGAGGCGATTGGTAAATGAAGAGACGCACCTTGCGTGACCCGTGACGCGTTGGAGTCTTGAGCGAGGGTTCGCATTCCCAGATTTGAAGTACAGCGTTCATCGAGTATTCTGTTGTACTTATCATTCAACACTCGTGCTTCAAATTTGGTGGTTTTGAGGTTCGTTTGCGTGGTCCAATTCGTCATATAAGGGCTGAAAACGGTTATGGAGTTTCACCACTTTGAACCATTGCACACCATTCTGAATTGTAGGGAAATATTTGACTGCCCTAGTTGATGCCTGATCTGGAGCGCACGCAAGCAAGCACGAATGCGGCAGCCATGGATGTAAGGCAGATGGCACAACCTCACTCGAATGTCTCTTTTCGGACCTTCCTGCTCGCGTCGTCAACTGAGCACAGCCACGACTCGTTTCCATTTCGGGGAAATCCTCCTTCTATCTCTGGAACTGCCGCGATGCACCTCGTGTGCTACTCCCTCGCCAAGAGAAGGTGCTTCCGCCTTACGTTCCGCCTTGCTCCCTGTCCACACGACGAAAGGCGGACATTGTCGAATGGCTCGCGCAGACCTAACCTGCGTTCCAGGCAGCCTATTGTAAGAGAGTGGGGTGGTTGCTAGACGTGCTCGCGTAGACCTAACCTGCCTTTTACGAAACGCTGCTGTGACGTTGCTAACGTTGTTAATGTGAAATCCATTCTTGCTAACGTTGCGACCTACCTGCACGTAGATGGCCACCACGGCGACAATGCGACAATGATGATTCCCGTCGGCCATCGGTGGGGAGGGGACCGCCGCCAAGCGACCGCACCATCGGTCACCATCGCTCAGCGACCTGTCAGACGATCTGATTGCCGCGCAAACACGCGAGAGATGGTCTGGGTTCGTTTCAAAACGGTCAACACAGTCAGCTCCAAGCGCAAGGTGAGAGCAGCAGTAGATTGCATCACCGGACAGGTCGACAGGAGCGGTCTCCCCGTGGAGTAGTAGCGACCTCCCTAAACCCAGATCCGTCACGTGCTTGCGTTTGCACAGCACAGCGTAACGGCTTTTGCACGCCGTGCTGTGCAAGAGAAAGCACGTGACCGATCTGGGTTCGTTCGTTTGTGCTACTCGATGCTGTGCACTGGGCCCGCTCGTGCTAGTAGTAGCCGTTCGTGCTCACTACTCGCCGCTGCGAGCTGCCCGTCGAGTCCCCCGCCGCTGCTGGCTTGGCCGCTGGCGCCTTCTCGTTATCGGCGAAGTTCGAAGCGGCTGGCTTGCAGCTTGAGCAGGAACAGAGCGGGAAAAGATCCGCGTTCTTTGCTAGCGCACCACTTCTGCGAGAAGTAGCTCAGTACTGTCACTCTCTCGCCTCCTTGGTACCTGACGCCGCTGTTGCTACTGATGGCGCAATCAATCAGTAGGCACAGTCCTCACATTGCTCGTCAGCACCTTTCCTCCATGCGGATTTGATTCTCCCGTCATGTAAGCACCACATGCGGATTTGACTCTCTCCTTGCAATGCTCCTCCTGCCATCGTGCGAGCAAGCGTGCACCTTGCCTTGGTGGGCCAGGGAAAATATTATTTTGATGCGGCGAGCACTACCCTACCCTACCCTCAAGCAATACCACCCTACCCTTGCTTCTCAACTCAAACTTGGTTTCCCCATGCATTGAAAAAAGACGGGGGATTTCGCATGTGCATAGACTACCGCGCACTGAACCGAGTTACAATCAAGTCTCGTTACCCCATCCCGCGAGCCGACGAACTGATCGACCAACTTCGCACAGCCCGGGTTTTCTCGAAAATTGACCTTCGAGGAGGTTACCACTAGATCCGCGTCAATCCGCCCCACTGCCCGAAAACCGCCTTCCGAACCCGCTACGGATCATTCGAATACACGGTAATGCCCTTCGGACTGACCAACGCCCCCGCAACCTTCCAAATGACCATGAATGAAGCCTTCCGCCCGCTTCTAAATAAGTGTGTAATCATCTACTTAGACGACATACTGAGCACAACACCTACAGGACATCGAAGCTGTTTTTTTAATACTGAGTGAGAACCGCCTACTGACCAAAGCCTCTAAGTGTGAGTTTCTACAGGACAAATTGGAGTTTTTGGGGCACGTAATTTCAGCCAACGGAGTGGAAATAGACCCAAAAAAAATCGCGACGATTCAAGCCTGGCATGCGCCGACCAACTTGACCGAGTTGCAGAGCTTTCTAGGGTTCGTCAACTACGTGCGACTGTTCGTCCCCGACATGGCGAAGTTGACTGCCCCGTTGACCGACCTGCAGTTGCTGAGGATGTTTTTCACGTTGGGGGAGAAAGAGCAACCTGCCTTCTCGGCCCTCAAACATCTTTTGTGCTCACCGCCCGTACTTCACATCGCAGATCCTCACCGTCTGTTCGAGCTCGTCACCGACGCAAGTGACATCGCTGTGGGAGCAGTACTGTTGCAGGACTTCGGGAACGGCCTCCAGCCAATCGCGTACGAGTCCCGCAAGCTTCACCCGCCCGAGCGCAACTACCCGATACACGACCGCGAGATGTTGGCTATCGTGCACGCGTTTAAAGTGTGGCGGTGCTACCTGACAGGAGCCGACGTGACAGTACGGACAGACCATCGTGCACTACAGTACCTTCGCGCCCAACCGAATCTCAACTCGCGACAGATCCGTTGGTTGGACTATCTGGAGTCCAACTTCCACTACAGTGTCACGTACAAAAAGGGAGCGTCGAATATCGCTGGCGCACTCACCCGCCCCACCGCCCAACTTCACGCCATCCTACTCGCCCAAACCAACCCACTTTTAACATGCCTATTCACCCACGGATACAGTACCGACCCATTTTTCACGAACGGAAATTCACAGCAACTGGCAGAAGCAAAGGGAGTCTATTACGTAAAGACAGGCACCAACCGCATTTGGGTACCCGCGTACTCACTACTGAGGGAACTGCTACTGCAGGAGGCACACGATGGGGTTACCTCGGGTCACTTCGGGGTAGAAAAACGCGACAGCAACTGCAGCGGTATTACTACTGGCCGGAGCTGTTGACCGACGTACAGCACCACGTGGGATCGTGTCCTACGTGTCAGGTGATGAAGAGCTCGCGAAAAAGAAAGGCGGGTCAAATGCATCCGATTCCACCGCCCGAGCGCGCATGGCAGCAGGTTACCATGGATTTCGTCACAGAGTTACCTTCGAACCCTGGGGGTAACGACGCGGTTATGCTCGTCATTGACAGACTGACGAAAATGGCTCACTTCGCTGCGTGCAGGAAATCGATCTCAGCCGAAGAAACCGCTCGCATGTTCATCGCGACCGTCGTTCGACTGCACGGGATACCCGCCGCGATAATCAGCGACCGCGACACGAAGTTTACCAGCAACTTCTGGAAGAACCTTTGGGAGCAGTTCGGGACCAGGCTACAGTTCAGCTCGTCGTACCACCCCAAGACCGACGGCCAAACGGAGCGGACGAACCAGACCATGGAGCAGTTGATTCGTGCCACGTGCGATGACCCGAAAATATGGGAGCAGCAGCTGACACTGATCGAGTTCGCCTACAACAACGCCACGTCAGCAACAGCGCAGCAATCCCCGTTTTACCTTAACTACGGGCAAAATCCAACAGTGCCCATGACGCCGAGTCCGGACAACCCCACGCCACGCGCACAACAATTCGCCGAGATTCTGCAAGCTGTCCGAACGCGAGCAGCAGAGGCAATTAAAAAAAACAAATGTCATCGCTAAGAGAAACGCTGACCGCCACTGCCGCCCAGTCACGTACCAGTCAGGGGATTACGTACTGCTCGACACACAGAATTTAAGACTGCCCGTCGTACCGAAACTTCGACCGTGCTACTGTGGACCATTCCAAATCAGCCACATTATCACCCCAGTTACCGCCCATTTACTGTTGCCGACAGACTGGTACATGAGCCCATCATTCCACGTCAGCTTGCTTCGCCCGTATATTCCGACCACCAGCCAACTGCCACGACATCACCCGCCGTCAATGACTCGCCCGGCATCGGAGCCGATCATCGAGCCTGAGAAGATTCTGAGCCATCGGATTCGTCATCCCACCGGCATCAAGAGGATCGAGTTCCTCGTTCGCTGGAAGGACCGCACGCCAACTGAAGATAGCTGGGTGCCCTTGGCCAACATCGAAAACCACCCTGCCCTGCAAGTGTACCTGAGGAGCCGTTGTTTCCGCGATATACACGCACTCGCGTAGCGGACGGGGCTTCTTGAGGGGGAGGGTAGTGAAATGATTTTTCTCGACATTCCTTACCGCGACCATCAACATCGCATACAGCAGCAGCCGTTGTTCGCCCGTTACTGCTAACGGGGCTTCGCCAACTTCGCGCGCGCACTGTTTTACCAAACCTTGCACTGCTGGCCTGGCCGAGTCGGCCCACGCTTCGGGACTAGCCCGAACCTCGATGCGAGCCTAGCACTAGCTAGCTCGCACGCACCGCGTAACCGTTGCATGTTTCGCACATAAGTATTCGCTCATGTCTTCGCTCATACTTTGTACTCGTTTGACACATAGTGGAATCCTCAGTGCTTCGATTCATTGCACCCGTAATAGTTGGAAATGCTCCGCCCATTCTGGGCTGGTTTACTTTCTTAACCTTGTTCGAACGTTCCAAACCTAGTGGAAACTTGATGGGTGATTTGCGACCTGCCTAACTTCTCTCTGTGTGCTTGCATGCTAATGTGCACTCGTTTCTGACTCCAGGGCCTTCAAATCGCTGACACGCTTAGGCATCTATCAGCGGTGCAGGAAGGGATGGTAGACATCTCGAAGCCTATGACGATGAACACAGAAGGTGCCGCGGAGACGCGTTTAGGTATCCTAAGGAGCGTTAGCGTCAGCGTTAGCATGACAGCAGCACACGGTGACAGGCGGCCGCTCTGCTTTAGCGCACGTCAGAAACCGCTTGCATGCCGAGACCCCTTTCCTCTCACGACCATCTTCTCTCCATGCCCCTTACCTCTCTCGTCCCACGGCATGCCCCCATTTACGGCCGTCTCAACGCCGTCTCTTCGTCGAGGCGCCAGACGAACCATCAACTTCATTTTATGTTTCAAGAATGGGCGAGGCGGCCTTCTTGCTCCCGTCTGCGCCCGCTGTCGCACCTCCCCCCGAGATGCAGCATCTTACTGTTACTCTTTCCTCGCCGCTCCCTGGTCTCAGCTTTCTCCAGCCATGCGATCTCTTTGCTTGATAACGCCCATCATCCCCGCGAAACTCACGCGTTGAGGCGCTTCGGAAACTGCAGTTCAGCTTTCTCCTGGCATGAAACCTTTTACTTGATAAGACCCACGTTTCCCGCGCGGCTCTCGGCTTGGTTAGTCTTCGCCAGCAATTTTGGGCTTCTGTACTAGTCCTTTCGAAATTCTGCACAATCCGTATTTTGAGTCAACTAAAAAATCCGCAAAAGTCGGCTCTGCCAAATTTGTCGCCATGACGAAGCTCTCCTCTCACGCGTTCGCGTCGTCGCTAGCCCGCCAGGTCGCTCGTCTCTACGCAGCGTCATCGCTCCCGGCAGAAGCCGCGTCGGCGGGTGTGACGCCGGGTGCGGCGGCGGGTGCGGCGGCGGCGGCGGCATCGCGCATTCCCAAGCAGCAGACGCTCCGCGCCACGGCGGCGACTTTTCACTGGAACGAGGCGCCACAGCAGCAGCGGCAGCAGCATTCGTTCACTCGCATCAGCGCGACGAGCAGCCTCACCACCACTCGGGGCGTCGCATCGGATGCTGCGGCGCAGAAAACGGCGATCGGGGCAGCGGCGGCGGCAGCGCCGACGAAGGAGTGGCATCTGGTGCCGCTGGGGTACCGGCCCGCGCACGCCGTGGCGCTGCAGGAGCACATCGAGGAGATGTGGGAGTCACGCGCCGGGCGGGAGGCGCGCCACGTGGCGGGGGAGGGAGTGGAAGGGAGGAAGAGGAGAGGCGAGGGCGCGGAGGAGAGCGGCAAGGAGGGGGAGCGGTGCGAGCTGGAGGCGCTGAACTGGGTGTTTAGTCAGCTGCCCGTGTCCGTGTTCCCCTGCCAGCATAAAGGTTCGTCAACTTAATTTCACCATACTTCCGTATGCTCCTATGCGCTTCTAGAAGCGCTCCTGTACTCTTATATATTTTGTAATACCCTTTGATACGCTACAACACGCTCCTATGCACTCCTAAACTCTCCTGTGCAATTTTACACGCTCCCGTGCACTCCTTTAAAGTCATGTATACTCCTGTCCCCTTTCCCCCCTTGTCTTCCTGCCTCCCTGCAGTTTTTGCTTTTTCCCTTCCCTCGCCCACCCCCCAGTGCTGAAATCCTGTCCAGCGCCCATCTATCGGACGCTCTGCGCATGCTCCAGCATGCGGGCCTCACAGCAGCGCCATTCAGGGCCGTGTGGGGGTGGGGCACGACACGACTAACAACTTCCCTCTTTGTTTTCACGCCCTTCTTCGCTCTCCCCTACCCTCGCCCCCAGTGCTCGAGATTCCCTCCAACGCCCCTCTGTCGGACGCTCTGCGCATGCTCCAGAGGGCGGGCTTCACAGCAGCGCCAGTCAGGGACGTGGGGTTGGGGCACGACACGACTCACAACTTCCCTCTTTGTTCTCCTGCCCTTCTTTGCCCTTACCTCTCCTTCCCCCTCTTTCGCCCTTCTTTCCTCTCCTTTTCTTGTTTCTCTCCTTCCCTGTCCGGCCAACCCTCTTTCTCCTTTCTCGTATTCCAACCCTCTTTGCCCTTTCTCTTCGTGGCATTTCTTCCTCCTTCCCTCTCCCTCCCTCCCCTTACCTGTTTTTCTCCTCTCCCCTCCTCCCCTCCCCTCTCCCCCCCAGTGCTCGAGATTCCCTCCAACGCCCGTCTGTCGGACGCGCTTCGTTTACTCCAGCATGCGGGCTTCACAGCAGCTCCAGTCAGGGACGTGGCGGTGGGGGACGACGCACCTTTCAACCTTTTCTCATCTTCCCCCTTGTCTCACTGCCCTCCCCTTCTCTTCCCTGCTCTTCCTGCTTCTCCCCCCCAGTGCTCGAGATCCCCTCCAATGCCCGTCTGTCGGACGCCCTTCGTCTGCTCCAGCATGCGGCCCTCACAGCAGCGCCAGTCAGGGACGTGGCGGTGGGGGATGATGCTCCTCTGCAGCAGCGCTACCTGGGCATGGTGGATGGCGGGGGGATCGTGCTGTGGGTCCTGGGGCAGGTGGGTGGGGGGGTTGATGGGTTAGGAGAGGGTCAACCCGGCCCTCACAGCAGCGCCAGTCAAGGAAGTGGGGGTGGGGAACGACGCCCAGCCCAGCGGTACCTGGGCATGGTGGATGGTGCTGGCATCGTGCTGTGGGTCATGGGGCAGGTAGAAATCAAACGTTCTCTCTAATCTAAATGACGTCTCCAGCACAGCAAGGTTTGGAAGGGCTCGGCCCAGAAAGCAAGCTATTTTATATAGTTATTCAAAATGAGACATGCCCATGCTTGCTTTCTCCCCCCTTCCTCCTAACCCTTTCTCCCCCCCTTTTTGTAGTGGCGGATGGTGGCAGCAACAGCAGCAGCAGGGGGCGGGGCTGGCAGGACTGGCGGTGGCAGCAGCTGGGGGTGCTCATGGGGGTGCTTTTCCGCCTCATTCAATACCTTTTCCGATCCTCGTCCATCCCCCCCTCTCCATCCCCCCTCCATTTTTTCCGCAGCTCGACCATTCATCCAAGGTACGCATGGCAGCAGCAGCAGGGGGAGGGCTGGCAGGAATGGCAGTGGCAGGGCTGGGAGCAGCAGCACTGGGCGCTCCAGATGCTACAAGCTGGTTCTTCCAATGCCCTCCCCCTGCCCCCACCCACCCATTCCCAATGCCTTTCTTTTGTTCTGACTCCCCTGCCCCCCCCCCCCCCCCCTCCCTTTCCCAATGCCTTGTCCACCACCCTCCTTCCTTCCTTCCCCAGCTTGATAGATCTTCTGCAGAAATCCGTGTGGCGGCAGCAGCAGGGGGGGGGCTGGCGGGACTGGCACTGGCAGGGTTGGGCGCAGCAGCACTGGGCGCGCCAGATGCTGCCACGTTGGCAGCCATGTGGGCAGGATCGATGGCTGGAGGGCTGCTTGGCGCCACGTCAGCAGAGGCCCCGGGGGAGGAGGAGGCGGGGGGAGGGGTGGAGCGAGTGAGAGTGTCGGTTGGGGGGCTTGATAGGTTGCTGCAAGGAAATGTGTTTCAAGCCGCTAAGGTAAGCACGGGAGGATGATGGAGTGTATAAGGGTGTCGGTAGGGGGGGTGGGGGGGAGCGTGGGTGCTGTGGGGGGCATGCTGGAGGAATGCGTCTGCACGCTGGCTGGAATGTGCTTCGATCTGTGAAGGAAGCCTACAAAGGCTTGGATTGCTTGGAGAAGTGGGTCTCGTTCCCTTCACTCGCAAGTCCTTCCTCATAGCCTCGCTTTCAAACCTAACCTGCATCCGCATTCCCTCATTCTCCCCTGGTACACTCTCTCCCCTCCCCTCCCACCCATCCCCCTTGTTTCCCTGTTTCCCTTCACTCCCTGTGCCGCCCTGCCTCCCTCATGGGTGGCTGGCCGGGTGGACGGCTTCTGTTGGCACTTACATTGGATTTGTGATGATTCTGTCTACTTAAATGCACACCCTTCCCCTCTTCCCTGTTTTCCGCTGCGACGCCCTGCCTCCCCGACAGGTGTCGGACCTGGTGGGTTCCTTCCGTTGGCGCTCCTTCCTGCCACTCTCCTCCGCCGACTCCGTCCTCTCACTCATGCTCCTCCTCGCCATGCCCCACCGCCCCCAAGTCCTTCCCATCATCACGTACCCTCCCACCTCCTCCTCTCCCTTCTCCTCCTCCCCCTCCTCCGCCTCCCCCACCTCCTCTTCCTCATTTAATTGAGCCTACGTCAGCAGGCTCGGGGTCAGCTGTGGTGCCGAGCCTGTCAGCTCTGGTGTCGCAGGCAGATGTGGTGAATTTCCTGGCGGAGTGTGACGGGCAGCCGTGGTTTGAATGGGTGGCGGGGAGGAGGCTGAAAGACATGGGGCTGCCAAGAATGGGTGCAGGATCGACTGTCAAGGTGAGACTGGGTCAAGGTTCCTGGAGGTTGACGGGTAGCCGTGGTTTAAGTGGGTCGTGGAGAGGAGTTTGAAAGACATGGGGCTGCCAAGAAGGGTTGTAGAATCGACTGAAATGGTGAGATGGGTCAAGGCTCTTGGAGTATGACAGGCAGCCGTGATTTGGGTGATTGGCGGGGCGCCGGGGAGGAGTCTGAAGGACATGGGCCTTTCAAGAATGGGTGCAACTGGGTCTGATTTCACATCTCAATGACAGGCAATCGAATCTGGGTCTGCAACAAGCTGATGGCAGGGTGCCACTGGCACTGATTTCACATTTTTATGTAATACAACACCAGTTCAGTTTAATGCTTGATGAGCTGGAGGATAAGTGTCCAACCAAGTGACGTGAAGATTTCTTGGAACAATGGAAGTGTTGAAGGTCAAGGTGAGTGCATGGTTTCCAAGATATTTTTCTGGGTGAAGACGACGAGGAGTGCATGGAGTAGTGGTTGGAAGGTAGGTGTGGTTAGGCCAAACTGAGTGTACAGTATCAGATTTATGATAATCGTGCCACAATGACCCACCTAGGTGAAATCAGCTACTTCATCAGGTTGAGATTGAATGATCAGTGGGTGCGATGGAAGGTGGCAAGAGGGTAGTTTGAAACTCGTAGCGAGGTGAGTACCATATTTGAGGCAACATCTGCTGAAGGTACATGCTATGGCACTAGAAAACACTTCTAGATAGACTGCTGATATCTATGTTGTTTATTTTCAAAAAAGTACAAGCGCGTTATGTGCCAGCCGGGAATCGAACCCGGCTGATGGCAGGGTGCTATTCTACCTCTTTATTGACTGTATAGTAAATGTACAATGGATACAAGGCAAATCCAGGTCCCGATTACATTTGGGGGAGGAGAAGTCGGACCCGATTTTAGTGGTCCTGATTTCATAGCGCTTGGAGTTTTCAAGCCCTGAAAGACAACCTCAGGTTCCAGGAGAATTTCATGCATGCATGTCAAGATCGTATCATTTTTTCTTTTCATTCCGGTGAATAATATCTCTGCAATGTCAGGCTTCACGTTCAAGAAAGTGTCGTCGTACCTGAGTTTTAGAGGAAGTTACGCCGGAACCTACACTTATGGAGAAAGATTCCAAATATCCGTCAACTTTGTGCAAAAGTACTAGTGCGGCTACTCGTGCTCGTACTCGTGTTGGGTGGTGGTAACAATGCTGCAGGTGCTCAAGCGTTGTTACCACCACCAATACGAGCACGAGCACGAGTACCCGCACTAGTACTTTTGCGCAACGTTGATGGATATTTAGAATCTTTCTCCATAAGTATAGGTTCCGGCGTAGCTTCCTTTATAACCTGGGTACGGCGGCGTTTTCTTGAACGTGAAGCCTGACATTGCAAATATATTACTCATTGGAATGTAGAGAAAAAATGACACGATTTTGAGATGCGTACCTGAGGTTCTCCTGGATCCTGAGGTTGTCTTTCTGGACTTGAAAAATCCAAGCGCGGTGAAATGGGGTCCTGTGAAATATGGGTGGGGGGAGAAGCTGGGAATCGAACCCGGATCTGCACCATGCTGATGGCAGGGTGCTATTGTACACCACTCGACCAGTGGCACTAGTCAGATGTGTTTGTTTATAATACGTAACAATTACCATGTTTTGGACTCTCGCACCTCTTGCTGCTATCCATTCCTGACTTAATGTTCTTCCTCTTTTGTACGCGTTGTGGTGACAGGTGGAGGAGTCGGACCCAGTAATGGAGCCGTTCCGTCTAATGCTGCAGCATGACATCGGCAAAGTGCCCGTGGTGGCACTGGGGACCAGTCGTATCACGGCAAATGTCAGCGCGAGGGACGTTCTGCAGCTGCTGACGTCACCGCACCTTGCAGAGCAACACCACCTCAAGTATGATTCCAGAAGTGTGTCCTCCGTCCCATTGTAAATTTACCAATCAGTACTTATCTTTTGCATCTTCTGAAATTGTCACCTAGTACTTCCGTGTGCTTGCTCGTTTCTCCATGTTCTCTGCATTCGAACGAACCCCTACACCCGCTGACCCAACCTCTTTGGTGATTCTGGTGCAAGCCGTGCAGCCTGTTTAGAGTCAACAGAACAGCTATTTTGCTCTTTCCTTTCCCCTCACTCTCCTCATTCTCCAATTTCTCTGCGTTGACCCCCACCCTACCCTCTTACCCGTGCCCCTCTTCCCCCTCCCCACCCTCCACCCACCACCGCCGCCATCTGCCCAGGCTGCTCACAGTAGTATCGGATGTGGCGCACAACAGACAACCACCTCGCCGGCCCCCCATTCCATTTTCTTCCTTCCGTCCCCTTCCTGCCCCCCTTAACCCCCCCGCCCCCTGTTTTTCCTCCCCCAGGCCGCTCACAGTGGCGGATCTGGTGCACGGTGCGCAGTGCCCGCACCTCCCCACCACTCCCCCCCCCTTGCATTCCATCCCCCCCCCCCCTCCCCCCCCTCCCCCCTTACACCTTCCCCCCTTCCCTCCCCCAGGCCACTCACAGTGGCGGATCTGGTGCACGATGCACAGCAACCTCTGCCCCCAGATTCCATCTTCTCCCCCTCCCCCCTCCTCCTCCCCCAGGCCGCTCACTGTGGCAGACTTGGTGCACGAAGCGTTAGCAGCTGAAACAATGCTCATTGTGGGTAGGGGAGAGAGGGTGACTTCACACTTTCTGAGAGCAAATAAGGGCGCGTCCCTTTCCTCGATCGATCCTGCGCAGGATCGATCCTGCGCTCGGTTTAAAAAGGTTAAGAAAGTCGAAAACAACAAAAAGCAGGAGTTTAGTGCGGTGGAGGATCGATCTTCCTTGATTTTGCACGATTGATCGAAGGAGGGGATGTGCCCTAAGTTCACTATTGCACAACTACGTCATATTTTACGCAAAATATCTGGAAACCAGCTCTCATAGCTCAGTTGGTTAGAGCACCCGTTTAGTAAGCGGGAGGTCTTGAGTTCAACTCTCAATGAGAGCAATATTATTCATTTGCTGGTCACTGCATAAGCATGCTCTTTACAACATATCACCTGCTCTGTTCTCCGCTCTCTCTTCCCCCTCACATTCCTTCTTCCCAACCACATTCCTCTGCTCTCATCGTCGTTCGTCTTCCCCCCACGAACCCTTCCCTTCCCTTTCCTTTCCTTTCAAGTCCTCTCGTCCGCCCCCTCCCTAACCTCTATCTACCTATACTCCCTCTGCCCTCCCTTCCATATGTTCATCCCCATACCCAACATCCACCGCCACCCCATTCATCTCGCCATGCTATGCCCCTTCATCCCATCATGCTATGCCCCTTCATCCCATCATGCTATGCCCCTTCATCCCATCATGCTATGCCCCTTCATCCCATCATGCTATGCCCCTTCATCCCATCATGCTATGCCCCTTCATCCCATCATGCTATGCCCCTTCATCCCATCATGCTATGCCCCTTCATCCCATCATGCTATGCCCCTTCATCCCATCATGCTATGCCCCTTCATCCCATCATGCTATGCCCCTTCATCCCATCATGCTATGCCCCTTCATCCCATCATGCTATGCCCCTTCATCCCATCATGCTATGCCCCTTCATCCCATCATGCTATGCCCCTTCATCCCATCATGCTATGCCCCTTCATCCCATCATGCTATGCCCCTTCATCCCATCATGCTATGCCCCTTCATCCCATCATGCTATGTATGCCCCTTCATCCCATCATGCTATGTATGCCCCTTCATCCCATCATGCTATGTATGCCCCTTCATCCCATCATGCTATGCCCCTTCATCCCATCATGCTATGCCCCTTCATCCCATCATGCTATGTATGCCCCTTCATCCCATCATGCTATGCCCCTTCATCCCATCATGCTATGCCCCTTCATCCCATCATGCTATGCCCCTTCATCCCATCATGCTACGCCCCTTCATCCCACCATGCTATGCCCCTTCATCCCACCATGCTATGCCCTTCATCCCACCATGCTATGCCCTTCGTCCCGCCATGCTATGCCCTTCGTCCCGCCATGCTATGCCCTTCATCCCACCATGCTATGCCCTTCATCCCACCATGCTGTGCCCTTCATCACCCCATGCATGCGCCGAGCGTCTCTCCCCCTCCCACATCCTCCTCCTGCCCGCCTTTACCTTCCCCTTTGCTCCCCCACCATCTCACCGTTGCCATCGCACCCTCAGGCACAACTTCTCCCTCCTTCTCTCCTACATCACCCAATCTTCCCCTTCCATGCCCCTATCACCCTCCTCTGCTGCTCATACATATTTTCCCCCTGTTCCCTCTCCCCCTCCCCCCTACCTCCCCGCAGCTGCTCCCAGCAGCCGTCTCACACTGGTGGCATGGCGTGGAGGGAGTGTGAGTCAGGGGAGGAGATGCATGGGGCACCGTCAGAACCAGGATGGCCGCATTGGTCATGATTGGCTCTCCAAGTTGGAAGGTCTTCAATGTGAAACACGGTAGGTAGCATGGCAGGGCCACGCGTGGAGCAGAAGTTTCTACTGTTTTCTCCTCAACAGTTGTGGTGGTGAAGCCGGGCAGCTGCGAGTAGAACGAGTCAGGCAGGATTGAGGCGTGGCGGGGACGCTTGCACTTCTTCTCTCCAAACCACTGGCGTCTCTCCTCCCAAGAGAGCCAGCGCTTCCTATTCTGCACCGGCCGCAACCACCACAATCACCACCATACCACTGCGCTTGCTGTCCCCAATCTCTTCTCCTCCAGTTGCCACCGCCCCTGGAAGTGCAGGCGGAATGGGGGCAGCAGCAGGTTCAAGGGGTGCACGCAGGTGGTATGGTATGTGGGAACTAGTCAGCTGTTTCTGAGGAGATAGCTGGAACGGGAGGAAGGCCAGAGAGAGAACGGAGAGGCAGGGCATGTGCTGGGAGGCTGCAGGGGAATTGGAAGAACTAGCAAAAGCAGAGTCACAGATGCAGTTCCAGTCGGATCGAGTGTTAGGTAGTTACTGCAAGGACGGATCACGGAGGCGGGAGCTGGCACAACAGCAGCATGTATCAAGTCGCATTATAACGAAGCACACAGTGGTGGAGGTGCTGTTAACGTGTGGTGAGGTATTGAGGTGGGCGAGCAACGCAGTGGGCAGGCTGCAAATGGCCCTGCAGGAGCACGCGTGTTCAAGGGCATTAATGAACGATCCAAGGTGAATCTTATTCCTTTGGCATTTGAAATGGATTTGCTGCACGGATTTGGGGTCTTCAAGAGCATCTATGGGAGCTCCAATACTATTTTACCTTCCCCCCCCCCCCTCCTCTCCCCCATTAGTGCCCGCTACCACCACTCATCATCCCCCCTACAACAGGACCCGATACGAGTGGTATACAGCGTGAGATGAGCCACCAGCTCCTGTACTGCAACCCGGCTGCTCTTCTGCTCCTCCGATTTCCACATCAGCCCTTTTTTGTCGAGCCAAAAGTGCACTGCATCCGGGCTGCTCACCTGCTCCTCGGCTACCCTTCCATTTTCCAAACCGGCCCTTCAGCACGCTGTGGCTTTCAGGTGTGTCTCACCTGCTCTCCCCCTAGCCTCCGCCGGACGGGGAGAGGTGTGGGAAGAACCGGGTGTGTGTAGGGCAGGAGGTGGCAGGGAGACGTGAGGCGGTGGTGGCTTGGACATAGCAGAAGCGAGGCGGGGAGCTCTGCACGTGCACTGCATAGGGTACATATGATCTGGGGATGGGCCGGGCTGCAGGCCGGTCGACCCAGCCTGGCACTAGGGGTTTTGAGGCTTCTCAGAAGTGGCCCGAGTTGCTGCGTGGGGTATCCAGTCCGGAGTCCTCCACTGGGTCAGTCTGGACCAGATTTCTGTCCCAGGTCGGCCTGGGTCGTCTTGGGTCGGCCTGGTCAGTAATGCGCCTGGCCCAAGCCAAGCGTGTCACAATCTGTGGGCGTGGCAAGGGGGGTGTGGGCGTGGCAAGGGGGGTGTGGGCGTGGCAAGGGGGGTGTGGGCGTGGCAAGGGGGGTGTGGGCGTGGCAAGGGAGGTGTGGGCGTGGCAAGGGTGGTGTGGGCGTCCAATCTGAGGGCCTGCTTCCAGGGCTATACATTCCCTGTATCTTTTTGTTATTATCATTTTTTTTCTCCAGTATCAACATAAGGTATGAATTCTAAGGGCATGTGCCTACGCCTCTTATCATATACCCCTCTTATCAGCTTCGCGTGGTAAAATGCGTTTAAGTGCGGTTCGATGCGAATCGCCTGACTAGAGGCTGTAGGAACATGTTGTAAGTCTTCCGCTGTGTTACAGCATCACATCTAGTCTCTCAAAGATCCTAGGGCAAATTTTCAGGCCAACAAGGGCATTTTATACCGTCTTGTATTTTGATTTGATTTCTTCTTAATTTCTGCAGTCATTTTAAAAACGTATCACACATAGATTTGTTGGCAGGTGTAAGGAAAATTCCTTTTCCTTACTTCGCGCCCCTGCTTACCGTGTACAAGACCATTCCCGCCATCGGCACCCAAACGGTGAAACGTTACCCGCTCGCGACCCTCGCCTCGACTACGACTCCCGCCACTATTCACGATGCGACCCAACCTCACGGTTCGGTTGGTAACCCGCGCTCCGGACCTTCGCCTCGACATTTCCCAACCTCGTCGCCCGTAGCGCACCCCACTATCTCGCGTTACCGTTACCGCTCTAGTTCGCTATATATTCTTCGCGCATGCCTTTGCTCATTTGGATTGTTTTGCTTCGATAGTGCAATTCTCGCTCGCTCGCTCAATTGCACTCGTAACACTTGGTATTCAGAGCCTACGATCTCCTCTCGGACCGCACCCACACCTTCACTTCCCCACTATCTCATTTTTTGGGGGGGGTAGACGTCTCTCAGCGAACAAGCACCGCCGCTCGAAGTGCTCTCTCGTAAGCACGCACGGCCACGACAGAGGCTCTCGCTGCGTTTGCCCGACACCCCCGCCATGGCCGAACTTAATCTTGCGACATTGATGAAGGAGCAGCTCGACCGTCTCGTGCGCCAACTCGAAGATTCGGCGCTCGAAATCGCGACACTCACGGCAGAACGTGACTCCGCCCGCCAGCAATCAACGGTGAATGCGCCAGCACCATCACAAGCACCCGCAAATGCACCTGTGCAATCGGATGAGCCGATTGTCATCTCGTCCGGCACACCGTCACATCACGACAGCGTGGGACAGCGCTCAGGCGCAGCCAGTGATGGCGCCGCCCAGTCAATGCCTGGCATGGGGAGGAACAGGGCTGTACCAAGCACGAGCGGGCCTCGCGAAGCCCGTCGTCACGTTGAATTTGCGGCAACAATCGGCAACAACGACATTATCGCGCCGATGCCGCTCAAACCGCAGCGCCCGCCCTGTTTCGACCCGAGCCAACGAGGAGGTCCGACGGTTCAATCGTGGGTCTTCACGATGAACGTTTTTTTCGACGCGAATTATGTCGAGTCGGACGCAGCGAAGATTCGATATGCTGTTTCGCTGCTAAGGGGCCCCGCCATGGACTGGTGGCGAGTCATTGTGACGTCGCCACGCGCCTACGAGCCTCCGCCGCAAGAGGAAGCGGAGCGGGTGGACCGTTACGTCGGAGGGCTGAAGCCGGACATCTCGCACGAAATCATGCTACGCGGGCTCTCGAATTTCAACGAGATCCTCGCGCTCGCCGAGAAAATCGACATTTTGCGCCGTCCGAGACCGGGGTCCTATTACGGACATCGCCCTCGGGGACCGACCGAGCACGCCACCCTACACGCCGTTGCGACGAATGCAGCTGCTCCGCCATTTAAGGGGCGCTGCTTTGCTTGCAATAGGCCGGGCCATCGCAAGAGCGAATGCCCAGAGGAGCAGAGACGCCGCGGAGCAGAGCAGGGACGGGAGTCTCAGAGGCAGGGAAACGCCAGCAGTCAGTAGAAAATGGGCCGACTACTGACGAGACAGCCTCCTCGCCCAACCTCACCGACCCTCACCGAGTCACAGTACCGATTCACGCTATCGATCGGGCTCGGATGAATAAGGAGGGTACAGCGACGGATCACCCAGTACTGATTCACGGGAAAATACAGGGAGCAGCAGTGAAGATTTTTATAGACGGGGGAGCAAGCCACAGTTTAGTTAATACCGCAACCGCACGGAAGCTGCAACTGACACTTAGTCGGTGTTTACCAGAGATAGATGCACGCTTAGTCGACGGCACGCCGCTGGCCATACGGGAGAAGGTGGAAAGAGTAAAAATCCGCTGCGGGGGGAACTTTGGGTTTACACAGGAAATGCTCGCGACGACACTGGATGGGCACGACATTTTACTGGGACGTTACTGGCTGCGACGGTATAACCCGCGAATCGACTGGACGACGGGTAGCTGCACTGTGCGAAGTAGCGGTAACTGGGTCATACTACCTCGCTGGCAGTCGCCCGAGTCTTCAACGGTCCACGTCAACGCCATCACGATGAAACGGGCTGTCGCCGCTGGAGCTGACGTGTACGCAGTGGATATAGCATTGGTAGTGGAAGCAGAGCAGCCGAGCGATTTTGAGAAACTGTTGGCAGCAGTACCGCCCGAACTACAGAAACTGTTGAAACGGTACCCGGGGATTTTTCCGGACGATTTACCAGAGGGACTGCCACCTCAGCGAGCACATGACCACCGAATAGAGTTAAAACCGGGGGCACAGCCAACTGTACAGCGACAATTCCGACTGACACTGCCAGAGCTCGATGAACTGAGGAAGCATGTAGATTACCTGTTAGAAAAAAAATTCATCCGACCGAGCTCGTCACCGTTCGCCGCCCCGATACTGTTCACACCGAAAAAAGACGGAGGTTTTCGCATGTGTATCGACTACAGAGCACTGAACAGGGTAACAGTCAAGTCGCGATACCCCATCCCCCGCGCCGACGAAGTGATAGATCAACTGCGAACAGCACGGGTCTTTTCGAAAATTGACTTACGCGGAGGTTACAACCAGATTCGGGTCGAACCATCGGACTGCGTAAAAACGGCATTTAGAACTAGGTACGGGTCATTCGAGTACACCGTGATGCCATTCGGGCTGACCAACGCACCGGCGACATTTCAGATGACCATGAACGAGGCGTTTAGGCCGCTCTTATATAAATGCGTGATAGTTTACCTCGACGACATCCTAGTTTACAGTCGCGATAAGCAGCAGCACTTAGCAGATCTGGAAGCAGTATTTAAAGTTTTAGACGAGCACAGACTACTGACCAAGGGTTCCAAGTGCGAGTTCTTCCAGGATAGGTTAGATTTTTTGGGACACGTTATTTCGGAGGCTGGAGTTGAGATCGACCCAAAGAAGCTGGACACGGTAAAAGCGTGGCGCCCCCCGACGAACATCACGGAGCTGCAGAGCTTTTTATGGTTCGTAAATTATGTGCGTCAGTTCGTCCCCGACATGGCACAGTTAACTGCTTCGCTGACGGACTTACTGCGGAAGGGGGTCACTTTTACGTGGGGGGAGGAAGAGCATGCTGCCTTCTCTGCCCTGAAAAATGTTCTCTGTTCACCGCCCGTACTGCGCATCGCCGACCCACACCGCCCATTCGAAGTAGTTACAGACGCAAGCGACATCGCCATTGGAGCCGTACTGCTACAGGATTTCGGCAACGGTCTACAGCCCATCGCATACGAGTCACGAAAACTGCATCCGCCCGAGAAGAATTACCCGATACACGACCGCGAAATGCTCGCGATCGTGCATGCATTCAAGGTCTGGCGCTGTTACTTGACCGGCGCAGACGTGACAGTACGGACAGACCACAGATCCCTACAGTACCTCCGCGCACAGCCCCACCTCAACCCACGACAGGTCCGCTGGCTCGATTTCCTCGAGTCAAATTTCCACTACACGGTCACCTATAAAAAGGGAGCATCGAACATTGCCGACGCACTGACCCGCCCAACTGCCCAGATCCACGCCATACTACTCGCACAGACCAGCCCGCTACTGACAGGCCTATTTACCCACGGGTATCAGACAGACCCTTTTTTACCGGAGGCAACTCGCAGCAGTTCGCAGCAGCAAAAGGGGTGTATTACGTAAAAGCCGGCACCGACCGCATCTGGGTACCGGGCTACACTTTACTAATGGAACTGTTACTACAGGAGGCACACGACGGGGTTACCTCAGGACATTTCGGGGTAGAGAGAACACGGCAGCAGCTGCAGCGGTATTACTACTGGCCCGAGATGCTGATCGACGTGCAACGACACGTGGCATCGTGTCCCACCTGCCAGCTCATGAAGTCGTCACGACAACGACCGGCAGGACAGTTGCAGCCGATACCACCCCCAGAGCGTGCTTGGCAGTAGGTGACGATGGACTTTGCACGGGGTTACCGGCTGGAGCAAGTGGGAACGACGCGATCCTGGTCGTCGTCGATCGGCTGACGAAAATGGCACACTTCGCAGCCTGCAAGAAATCAATCACGGCCGAAGAAACGGCCCGCCTCTTCATCTCCACCGTCGTTCGACTGCACGGGATACCAGCATCAATCATCAGCGACCGCGACACGAAGTTCACCAGCAACTTCTGGCGAAACCTGTGGCAGCAGTTCGGCACACGACTACAGTTCAGTTCATCATACCACCCCGAAACCGACGGACAGACAGAACGGACAAATCAAACCATGGAACAACTCATCCGAGCCACGTGCGACGACCCGACCACGTGGGAACAGCAACTGCCACTCATCGAGTTCGCGTACAACAACTCGCCATCTGCCACGACCCAACAGTCACCGTTTTACCTGAACTACGGACAAGACCCCACAGTACCCATGACCCCGAATCCCGACAACCCAGTCCCATGCGCGCAACAGTTCGCATAAATATTGCAAGCAGCACGGACCCGAGCAGCAGAAGCAATAAAAAAATCAAACGTCATCGCTAAGCGCAACGCCGACCGACACCGCCGCCCCGTCACTTACCAACCCGACGACCTGGTATTACTCGACACTCAAAACCTCCGCCTGCCCATCACCCCAAAACTCCGCCCCCGATATTGCGGGCCATTTCGCATCAGCCACATGATCACACCCGTCACCGCCCATCTCCTCCTCCCTGCTGACTGGTACGTCAGCCCGTCATTCCACGTCAGCCTGCTTCGCCCATACGTGCCATCCACCAGCCAACTGCCTCGCAACCGCCCTGCCAGCATGACACGACCGCCAACAGAGCCAATCATCACGCCCGAAAAAATACTGAGCCACCGAGTACGTGACCCACGGGGAGCCCGCAGGATCGAATTCCTGATCCGCTGGAAAGACCGCACGCCCACCGAAGACAACTGGGTCCCCCTGAATAGAGTTGAAAATCACCCTGTCCTCACTGAGTATCTGCGCAGCCGAAACTTTCGCGATGTACACGCGCTCTCATAAGGAGGGCCTCCTTGGGGGGGGGGGGTAGTGTAAGGAAAATTCCTTTTCCTTACTTCACGCCCCTGCTTACCTCGTACAAGACCATTCCCGCCATCGGCACCCAAACGGTGAAACGTTACCCGCTCGCGACACTCGCCTCGACTACGACTCCCGCCACCATTCACGATGCGACCCAACCTCACGGTTCGGTTGGTAACCCGCGCTCCGGACCTCCGCCTCGACATTTCCCAACCTCGGCGCTAGGCCCGTAGCGCACCCCATTATCTCGCGTTACCGTTACCGCTCTAGTTCGCTATATATTCTTCGCGCATGCCTTTGCTCATTTGGATTGTTTTGCTTCGATAGTGCAATTCTCGCTCGCTCGCTCAATTGCACTCGTAACAGCAGGAAAGCACTTTCTTTAGACGAAAAGAGCACAGCAAGAAGCATAAGTACGGTGCATGGATGAATTGTCACTTGAAGCTGAAGGTGTTGGTGGGAATGAGAGGAGCCCAGCCCAGGGAACAAGGGTGCAGAGAAGAGGAAGGCCTAGTAGGATGTAAGTTTATGATTGAAATGTGAGTTGGAGCAAGTGATAGAAGGCACATAGATGGATCAACATGACATGCACCACATGCCGTGCACCAGATGCCCTGCACCAGACGCCATGAACCACATGTCATGCACAACGTGTCATGCACCACATCTCATGCAGCATATGCCATGGATCAGATGCCATGCATCATATGCCATGCAGCAGGGACAGCATAACCTGTGGAGCAGATGCCACTGCATGCATAGTACTTGCACACATCATGTCGTGAACTCCAATGTTGTCATCTCACCCCAACATATCCTCAAATCATCATGCATCTCTTTAACGCACATCCCACGCATCAAAACACACCCCACACATCCCAACCCCGCCATGCATCCCAACACATGCCATGCATCCCAACACATGCCATGCATCCCAACACTTGCCATGCATCCCAACACTTGCCATGCATCCCAACACATGCCACGCATCCCAGCAGCATCATCTCTCCACTTCAAGCCACGGCCATCGAACCCCGTTAAACTGTTTAACGCTCCACTCGCATCCACGCAAACACAGCCCGGCCTCCTGCTTCTCATATAGAACAGGCCTCAACCATCCCGGCTGCACGTAGTTGAATCCCAAGTCCAGCTCGTTCAGCTGGGGCACTAAACTCAGATGCCTCACAAACGCCGCACGCAGGTTGCAGCACTGCTGCACCTTTACATGCTGCAAACTTTTAAGTAAGTAAAGCTGAGAAACGCCCTTGTAGCTGACTCGCGTGGCCGACAGATCCAGGGATTGTAGCTGTGGAATGGTGTAGCTCCACACAGCCATGCCTGAGTCCACATCCACACTGCATCCAGCCAGCCCCAGCTCCCTCAACTGAGCAAACTCCCTGAAGTATGCATCATCGTGCAGGTGGGTGCCGGTGATGTGGAGTGTGGTGAGACGTGTGAGTGCGGTGAGGGCTAGCAGGTCCTCCTCGCTGCGTGCCACTCCATGCACCCCAAGCTGCTGCAAGCCCTGCAGCGCACCAACCACCTGCCACACACTGCCATCCACGCAGGGGTGTTTGGGGTTGCACAGCCCATCGCCACAGTCACAAACGCGTTTGATGTATGGAGTGGGGCGCTGGGAAACTCTGGATATATCAGGCAGGGAATCACAGCGAAACTGCAGCTCCAGGTAATGGTCTTCCAGGTTTGCTGGTGCCACCTGCAGCCGCGTCAGCTTGGTGAGGCTCCTCAGCTGCTCCCATCCACTTGGAGTCACCCCCTCGCTGCACGTGCAGGAGAAGGCCTCCAGGCGCCCCAACATGGCCACATCTCGCAGCAGGGCGTCACTCACTTGGCTGATGTGCAGCTCCCTTAGCCTCTCCAAGGGCTGCTGGGCATTGGCCGAGGCAGAGTGAGTGTGGAGATTCAGATTGGGAGGGTCTGGGCAGTCCAAGACGAGCCGATGGAGCTGAGAGAAGAACGGGAAGAGAAACTGGTCGTCTGGAGTTATGGAAGTCTGCAGGAAGGAGAGCGAGGTGAGGGAGGGTAGCTCGCGAAGGTAGGGGAGGGAGTGAGTGGGGATGGGAGAGAGGCGGTGGAGGGTGAGGGAGGAGAGCGAGGCATAGATGCCGGGGCAGTGGTAGGGAGCGAGGGTGAGGAAATAGAAAAGGCTGTGATTGGGATTGTCACTAAAAACAGGGTTGAGACTTGAAAGGGTGATGTCCTGTGCTGCTCCCTCTTGGGCGGCCAAGAATTCGGTCACCTCCCGCTGCGTTTGGGTCTTTTGTGCTCGCTCCCACTTCAATTGCTCTAGCAGTCTCAGTACCCCATTGTGCCCCTTGTGCCCCTTGCCCTGCCCGTGCATGCAGCAACCCATTCCCGTCCACTCCACCTGCCACTCCCACCCCTCGTCTCCCTTCCTCTCCTGCTACCGGCATAGCCCTGCTCTCCCCCCCAAAACACTCTGCTGCCCGCGCCCTACTCTGCCCTCCATTGCTCCCCCCCAATCCACCCTCCAGCACCTCCGCCTAAGCCCCTGTCCCCCATCCCCCCCCTCTGAGCGAGTCCGGCTGCTGCGAGGCGTGCCTGGGCGCGGGGCTGAGAGGGACAAGGGGACGGGACGGGATGGAGGGGGGGGACAATGGGGGGAGGTGAGCAACGTTTGCCCGCCCCTGTTCCCCCATCCGCACCCTCTGAGCGAATCTGGCTGCTGTAAGGCGTGCCTGGGCGTGGGGCTGAGAGTGGAGTGGATGCATTGAGTTGAGTACGCGAGAAGAAGTGGTGAAAGTGCGAGGAAAGAGGAATGAGGAAAGAAAGCTAGCATCACACGAGAGTTGTCATTAGTGTGGGGACAGTGCAGTAGAAATTCATATGCAGCGTCTGGTTGATTTCTTTCTCATTGCCACTCCTCTCATTGCTACTCTCATCTCATCACTACTCTGGTTGTACACTTCAGTAACGCTCACCTGCACCAAGTTATAACTGTCACCCACTTCTTCCTCCACTGCCCTCATCTCCTCATCCTCACGCTCTACTTCCGCCTCCTCATTTTCTTCTGCCTCCTCCTCCTCCTCCCCTGCCTCCTTCTCCTCCTCTTCCTTCTCTCGCCTTTCTTCCTTCTCTCTCTCCTCTTCCTCCGCCTCTTCCACATCAACCTGCTCTGGCCCACCCTCCAACCCGTGTCTCTTCCACAGCCCTCGCACTTGACTCTTCACCTCCTGAGCCTTCTCGCGGCCTCTGCATGGGTTGAAAGGGTGTCCAGGTGCTGCAAGGGAAAGCACACACGGGGGAGAGGCCTAAGGGCTGAGAACTGGTAGAGATGGAAAAGTGAAGGGAAGAGATAAGAGAAGCTGCCTGTCTGCCCCTCTCGCGGCCTCTGCATGGCAGGTGCTGCCAGGGAATACACACACGACGGGGAAGAGTCGTAAGGGGTGAAAACTGGTAACGATAGGGGGTAATGGGGAAGTGATGCGAGGGCCTGCCCTTCTCGTTACCTTAGTATGTGCTGAAAGCGTCCCAGGTGCAGCCAGAAACGCACATCTGGGAGAGACGAAGGGGTGGAAAGGGGCCTAGTGCGGTAGCGATGGGAGGGGTGATTGCCTGCATGGGCGAGAGGGCTGGCAGTGCTGCCGCACAACGAGAAATGGGGCGGCAACAAGGAGAAGCGTGGGAGCGAGGCGGGGGCGATTGGGGAGCAATGGGGTGGAGTGATGATGGGCGAGGAGAACGGTGAGGAGGCAATGGGGGAACGGCTGGGGGGAGTGCCTGTCTGCAATGAGCTGCCCTATGGACGCGTGTGGCAATGCAGACGAAGGGGAAATGGGAGTGGGATGGGGGAGCGGGATGGGGGAGCGGGATGGGGGAGCGGGATGGGGGAGCGGGATGGGGGAGCGGGATGGGGGAGCGGGATGGGGGAGCGGGATGGGGGAGCGGGATGGGGGAGCGGGATGGGGGAGCGGGATGGGGGAGCGGGATGGGGGAGCGGGATGGGGGAGCGGGATGGGAGCAATCACATGGGTGGCATGAAATGGGGAACACTGGAAGGGTATGCTTTGCCCGATAACACGCACCTCCTTCATGCGGTGTCCAACAGCCAAGCCATCAGCCATGCGAGCTCGCTTGCGCCCTGCACCGCCTCCAGCCGCAGCTTGAAAGGGCATCTCCGCCTCCTCCTCGGCCTCGGCCTCCATGAAGCGAGATGACTTCTGAGTCGACTCAAAAGTCACCTTGGCCTCTACGACGCGGCGAAGCAGCAGTGCTTGCGCAAGTATCTCGTTCACCTTCTGATCAATGCTCGCCTCCAACCCCACCACCGCCCTCTCCGCCTCACTCAACGCTGATTTCAACTCCTCTTCGCGCCTCTTCGTCCTCGTTTCTAGAGCCTCACTTGATTTCCTGTCGTCCTCTCTCTTCTTATTCGCCTCTTCCTCTCCCACTCTCCTCCTCCCTTCTTCTCTCATTCTGTTTCTCTCTTCCTCACTCACCATCGTTCTCTTTTCCTCTCTCACACTGTTTTTTTCCACCTCTCGCCTCCTCTCCTCCTCTCTCACCCTCTTATTCTCTTCTTCCCTCACCCTCTCCCATTCTTCCTCTCTCTTCCTCTCGTCTCTCACCCTCCTCTCTTCCTCTCTCACTCTCTCCCTCGCTTCCTCTCTCTTTCTCTCCTCCATCTGCCCAAGCTTCTCCGCCAGTCTCGCCGTCACGCCAACCTCTACGGCGCGCAGCACGCACCATCGGCTCACGCCCATCAGCTGCTCTAACGACAGCTCATCCGCGCTCTCCGCTCCTCCTCCGCCCATCATGCCGCTGGCGCGCATCGCCACGTCGACCTGCCGCATCCGCGCATGCATTCCGCCTCCGCCGTACTCCCTCGTTTCCCCACCGCCTCTGCGCCTTCCCAGTTCTCCGCCGTTGAGCCCTTCTCAGCCAGCGTCTGCGCTATAGAAATCTATTTGCTGCGCCTCGCCGCGCAAATCGCCGCAAAGAATCTAAGTGTTCATCCTCTATCATCAGTCGTTGCTGCTGACCTGGTAAAAGGAAAGGCGAGAAAAGGCGATTTCTGGCCTTTCTACTTTACCTCCCCCCGATACGCTGCTTGCACCTTGGCACTATTCTTGCCGTGCCAGGACCAGAAAGGCGGTCTTATAATGCGACCCTGACATGTGGCTCTGAAATGCGTTTTTGAAACGTGACCCGGAAACGCTACTGGTGTGCCGCAGCGGTGAGGAACGAAGAGTGAAGATCAGAGGCGCGTCAAACGAAACAATGAATCACTTTCTGCTTGAAAAACGAACAGCTTTGGAGAAAGGGCCAGGACAGGAAGTAATTTCGCTGATGGGTGGAAGTGCGAGGTTGGGGGATGACGAGGGTGTGGGGGAGGGGCGAAGGAGCTGGAGCATCAATTTTCAAACACTCAAAACTACCGAGATTTGGAATGCTTTACTCGTTATGGGGATAGGCAAGCGTACAATTTAACAATCGTCTCCAGTAAGAATATAAGTAAGTATATATAGAATATTGCACGTGAAATTGAACCACCGGTAACAAGCGAGGATTGAACGGAGGGGGCAAGGAAACCACGTCGTGCGAGTAAAGGCATGGGCGAACATTATTGAGACTCTGCCATGGCTCCTGCCATGAACTTATTGATATTAATGTCAACCGTAAATGCGCCAGCAGGCACAGTACCAGGCCATGTGCTGCCTTGACAGTACAATAACACAACTCAGCCTCCACAGCTTTGCCGTACCATACAAACTTAATATCCCCTTCTCACAGCATAGCAGCAGCCAGCAGTGCCAGCAAGCAGACGGCCATAGGAGGGAGGGCAGGGGGGCGAAGGTTATGGCTGGGATTAGTGACGGATGTGGAGGAGGAGGCAGAGGGTGTGGACGGGGCTTGTGAGGGGGTAGGTGAGGGGGTAGGTGAGGGGGATGTGGGGGAGTTGGGCTACTGGGAGGAGTGGTGTTGGATGTGGGAGGACCAGCAGGAGAAGTGGAGGCGAGGGCAGGTGTTGGTGGCCTTCCTGTGAGGGCATGGGATGGGAGAACACAGAGGAGAGGAGGATGCATGGAGAAGGATAAGGCAAGAGAGAGCAGTGCACAGATGATGGCAAGGTGAGTGGGGCGGGAAGAGAGACGGGTTTATGCCAATGGAAGCCATTCTCTGGCACGAGGTGAGAGGGACGATCGAGGCAGGGCAAGTGTTGGCACGGCAGCGGCAGGACAGGGCAGGGAAAGGCATGGCATAGCATGGCATGGCAATGGATGGCAGGTCAGGGATGTGTACGAGACGGAAGCAGCAACGTGTCATGAAAATGGAGGTTGGGGGAGGCAAAGAGGAAGCACACCTTGGTCGAGGTTGGAGTCAAATTGCGTGCAATCTGCGGTGGAGCGTGGATTCTCGTCTCCCAGCAAGGCGTCTGCACTTGTACCTGCTGAAGCGCGAAAGCAGTTGGTGAAGAACCTGAGGCGGGAAAAGGGGGGCAGGGGGAATAGTGTCTTGTTTTGAGGCGCCTCATGTGATAAGTCAATTTTTTAGTCGACTCAAAAATCGACTTATCACACACGGGGAATAGTGTCTTGTTTTGAAGCGCCTCAAAACAGGATTCTCGTCCCTCAGCAAGGATAAAGAGAAGCACAACGGTTGTGAAGTGGGCTGTTCGGTCAATGGAAGAAGGGGGAGGAGAGGCGGGGAGGGGTGGGGGGGAGGGAGTTGGGTGGGAGAGAGGGATGTTAATGGAAGAAGCAGGAGAAAAAAGAGGGTTGGCAGGAGAAGAGGGGTGTTGGGAGAGGAGACACGAGGATTCTGACCAGCGTGCAGCGAGCTTCTGCCGCATCGCTCTTCTCTCCCATGCCTACTTGCCAGCTGCCCCCACCCACTCGCCACTCACTGCCTCTACCGACACTAACCGACACCCAATCGCCACTCACTGCATCGCTCTTCTCTCCCATGCCTACTTGCCAGCTGCCCCCACCCACTCGCCACTCACTGCCTCTATCCTTCACCACCGCCACTGCAGCTGCTGCTGCGAGCCATGGCTGTGCCATGCTTCTGCTGCCTCGCTCTTCTCTCCCCTCCCATGCCCACTTGCCTGCTGCCCCCACCCAATGGAAGAAGGGGGTCCATACATACCCACTCGCCACTGGCTGCCTCTATCCTTCACCACCTCTACTGCCGCTGCTGCTGCGACCCATGGCTCTGCCATGTTGCTCCACCAAGCGTTTTAGAGATCTATTGACTGGCTGGCTTTTTACACATGCCACTGACTGCCTCCACCCACTCGCCACTGGCTGCCTCCATCCTTTACCGCCTCGAATGCAGCTTCTGCTGCGACCCATGGCTCTGCCATGCTGTTCGGCCAAACGATTTAGATATCTATTGGCTGGCTGGCTTTTCACAAGTCCACGACAGGGTGCTGTTGGCGTGGGAATGGAAAGGTCTGAGGGAAGGGAAGACGGTGGAAGAACAGCCGATGATGGCATTACAGGACAGAAAACTAGCAGCCATGAGAGGCAATGCTGAAAACAGACGCATGGGGAAGCAGTGCCGAGGTTCATTCTCCCTCGTCGGCAAAACAGTGCCAAACCACAATACTGGGCGTGAGTAGGCGAAGGCACGAACTGGGACAAGCATGATTAGTAACAATGGATGGAAGGAGAGGGACAATGTGAGGAAACGTCTAGCAAACGGCAGGTGCTGTTGGTGTGGGAAGGGGACGAGAGAGTCAGGGAGAATGGGGTACAGCTGGCTGGGGAGAGTGGGGGAGAGCTTGGGAGAGGGAGAGAGGGCAAAGGTGGTAATAGGGGGGTATTGCTGAGTGAGGAGGGGAGAGTGGAAGATAACTTTTGGTAGAGCAGTGTTGACATTCATTTTTCCATCAGCAAACTGAGCGTGGAGGTGGAACAGCTAATGCCCACTAACACAAGGTCACTTGCACGGCTTCTGTTGCCTCCTCGTCGCCTGCGAGCCCCCGTTTGCATGAACAAGCCTACTCTCCTGGCTCTGCCATGCTGCGAGGCCGTGCGTTGCAGCGATGAGATGAGCTCCTCATGAAAAGTCCATGAACGGTGCTGTTGGTGTGGGAAGGTAGGGGAGTTTGAGGGAGAGCGCACACTGGTGGGTGGGGGGCGTGATTCCGACGAGGAGGGGGAGGGGGACAACACTAAAGGTATTGCATTCTACTTTTGATGCGCATCAGTAATGGTATGGCATTCTAGCAGATCCATTCTGTTTTGGCAGCACAGTGGCACCAGAAACGCCAATCTGAGGCGGAAGGGAGACGGTGCAAAGGGAGGGATGGAGAACGGCAACGACTACAACTCATTTCCCTGTGTGGGCGACGGTGCCATATTTCCAGCTCGACTTCGCTCGTCTCCGCGGTGGTTTAGGAGTCTGAGATGTCACCATGATCGTCAACCTGTTGCCGCCCACTGGGGAGCCGCCAGCTAGTAAGAGGCCCCACGTTTCACCTGCGGCGAAGAACAATGCAGCAAGCAATGCATTCTCGTACTTAAAACGCGGCGAAGAGGGCACGCTGGAATGAAACGCCAAACTAGCGCAAAAAAAAGCATACTGGGCGCGGATCGACGACGACACAAAGTACGGAAGACGACGGCAGGCCCAGCAGTAGTAGCAGAGGGATCATGATAGGATCAGAAGACATCGGATTCTCCCACCATCATAGCCCTCGGACATTGCATCTAAGTCGGCCTCTCACCTCCGTGTTCGGCATCACCATCGCCCTGTCATGGTCAGCCGAGAGGGCGCACGCCTTCCACCTGCTGCCGGGATGCAGGCGCGGCACGTCCACCCACGGCGGCGAGTGCGGAAAATTCGGTGTTGAGAGAGGCAGCACTGGCATTACGTAAACAGAGATTCCGTTTCGCTATGGCTCTCGTCGCAAACGTATCTCCAGGCGCTGCGGGCATGGCGAACCAGTGTGACGAACTCCAACACTGGTTAGCCTATACAACGTCCTCCAGCCTATGTCACTCTAGAGCGTGACGTACTAGTATACAACGTCCTCCACTGGGTCCGAGCCCATGCAGCATATAAAGAATGGTGTTGTTCTGTAGAATCACGGAGTCTAGTTGGTCTGAAAAAAACGAACAACGCCATTCTCGTAACCTGTCGCTGATTCTGAACACGAACTCGTAATCTGTCGCTGTGAAACGCGCTGGAAAATGAGCAAAGCCACAACCCTAATCTGTACTGAGGGTGGGTGGGACACAAACAGCATTCGAGAAATTCGTCTAGCTTCGAATTCTAACAGTTTTTGGGTCGCATTCGAATACGATGTGCATTCCGTTTGAGAAAACACGTAGCGGCTTTCGGTTGGGCAAAGTTTGGTAACCAGCACTCCAACTATTGCTCAGCGAAATTAGCGAGGAGAATTCAGCAAAGAGATGCAAACTCAGAGAGGTAACAAGCTCAGCGAGGCAAATTCCAAGTGAACCGAACCTGGGCGTACCCTGCTGGTAATGGAACCAGGCCCTTTCCTGTGAGTCGCATCCAAAAACTTCTGCCACTGGAATTCGAAATCGTATTCCAGCATCCTTCAAGGATTTGCGTGATTACTTTTATGCGTTCAGTTTACAGGAAGACATTCCTTTAGCAGCGAATGCAGCACATATGGAAGACACAGCTAGCGGCAAATTTAGCAGATTCGTTACCTATTTGATATACTAGTGACAAGTAGTTCGTTCAACGTGCCTAGAGCGGCGCGGGTATGGCTCTAGATGTCCGATTTCGAATTCCCAGAGGCTTGGTTCCCGGCGGATCCGACGACAACCATAGCAGCGACTCGCGTTCTAATGACAGCCGATGCATCCCAAAATGTGCGAGGTCGGGGTGGCATATTTTCTAGGGCTTGCGAGAGAGTTACTTTCAAGAACTTACCTGAAGGTGGCTTTTCTGGGTTCGCGACTCGGGATTCCATCGGCGGCATCATCACGGAAGTTTCGTTGCGACCCTGCGAGCGATTCTATTGGTCGATAAGTTTCAACCGAGTCCGAGAACCCTCCTCGACACCGCTCGCGCTGTTTTCATTGGTCGTTCGATTCGAACTTACTCCTCCGTAAGAATTGGGTTTCGAGAAACACCTTCCAAGAAGCAGCGGGTGGCGAAGGGAAGTTGGCGCAAATCCACCAGACCAATTTGACCCGCACAAGAGCATTTCCGTTCCAGTGCAAACAGATTTTAGAGTTATGGAAATATGTTGTTGTTATATGCCTTTATGTGGTAAAAGCTTTCATTGTTAAGACATCCATTGTTGTAGTCATGTTTGTCACTCATTTACTCTAGTAGTTTTTTTTTCCATGTGCAATTAAATCAGATGAACACCCTAATCTTGGCTGTTGTGATCGGTGGGACGTTCAATTCACAAAATACATAATGGTGTGTTGTTTCCTTTTTGCAATGTTTCTTCACACCACTGTGTCATTAATGATATCTTAAGGGTTTCAACCCAATTTGGTGTCAATCCATAACACAGGTACGAGTGACGCTGTTTTGAACATCGAATGAGATGAAACCGTGAGAGTACAGACATAGACGTCGCATAATGTCGTTTCAATACTGCGTTGCTTCGAGAAGCCGACGACAGCGGAGCAGTCAGCAGGAGAGTCGATCATACGGGAGCAGCCCGGCGATGGCTTGTCGAACGACGGTGTGGAAGTCGCCGGAAATGACGAAGGGGAGCCATCGACAAGGGGGGGGGGGGGGGGGGTACATCTCATCGACAAGCCGGCAGCGACATCTCATCGAGCAACGTGGTGGAAGTCCTCGTCGACAAGACGGCAGTGCGACGCTCCACTCGCTCGAACTTCGGCGAACCTCCAGACTACCTCGCCAACGTGTGCCAACACACTCCTCGACGACGCGGTGCTTTGCTGGGTGCTTGTCTACGTCGACCACTTGCTGGAGCAAGAGTCGGGTCGACGAAGCCCTCTACTTCAAAGTCGGGGACGACGGGGTGGCTTGCTGGGTGGTCGTCTACGTCGACGGCCTGCTGGAGCAAGATTCAGGTCGACGAAGCCCTCTACTTCAAAGTCGGCGACGACGAGGTTCTTTACGGGAAATGGCACTGCCCTCGCTTAGGCGAAGCCAACTTCGCAATCGAGTGCGCGCAGAAGTCGACTTCGACCCCCTCGCAGAGTTCGACGCCGACCTGTCCGCAGAAGTCGACGTCGACCTGCTCGCCAAAGTCGACGCCGACTGCTCGCAGAAGTCGACGAAGTTGTCCGGTCGACAAGGTTCTGCGGAGGCGTTGGTCGAGCATCATCGGCAGAGGATGCAGGTCGACGAGCCCGAAGAGGAGGCTGGTCGACGAGCCCGTAGAGGGGGTTGGTCGACGAGCCCGCAGAGGATGCGGGTCGACGAGCCCGCAGAGGATGCGGTCTGTTGACGGGAATTGGCCCCGCCCTCGCTTGGGCGAAGCAGACTTCGCAGTCAGGGGGGGCGCGCAGAAGTCGTCGCAGACTGCGCGCAGAGTTCGACCTCGGACTGTCCGTATAGTTCGACCTCGACGCGTCCGCAGAAGACGTGGTCGACGTGTCCGCAGAGGACGCTGGTTGACGCGTTCGCAGAGGACACGGTCGACAAGCTCGCAAAGGACGCGGTTGACGAGCTCGCAGAGGACGCTGGTCAACGAGCCCGTAGAGAGGTGCTGGTATACGGGCTCTGCTCGACGTGCTCGTCTAGGCGAATGCTGTTCGACGGAGCACCGTCGAGCTGGTCGACGCAAGTCGCTTGACTGCGAAATCCGACGCGTAGGCGAATGTCGCCGAGGAGGTTTTTGCGAAGTCAACCTGCGGAACGGCATCGCGTGCTCGACGGTGCACGGCTGGCAAAACCGTCGACACTTTTTCTACCTGGCACCTGCGCAATGTGCCTGGCGGCGCGTCCGTCTACCTGCGCCTACTTGGTACAGCACGTGATGTTGTTTCAATGCTGCATTGGTTTTTTTTGCCAGTTTGCTTCACACCACTGGGTCATTGATGATGCCAGGATTCTCTCAGGGCATTATGAAGTCATTCGCATCACACGTGTACGACTGACGATGTTTTGAACATCGAATGGGGAAACCGTGCGAGTACATACCTGGACTGCAGATGATGCCGTTTCAATGCCACGGAGTAATTTTTTGCAATATTTTTTCACACCACCGAGTCATTCATGATACCAGAAGGGTGCCTGCGGAGAGCC